CCCCTCACCATTCTCCTCCCACCCCCTCCATTTCTCCACACCATTCTCCCTCAGTCTTGTGTCCCTCATGTGAGGGAGGGGGGGACACAAGTCTTGTGAGAGGGAGTGTCTTCTCCCCTCTCCCCTTCCCATTCTCCCCTCTCCCCCTATCTCCCATTGTCCTTCCTTTATATGTCCCACTCCCTCCAATACTCCCTATGTCCCACTCCCTCCAAGTCTTGTGAGAGGGAGTGTCCTCTCCCCTTCCCATTCTCCCCTCTCCCCTTAGTCTTGTGTCCCTCATGTGAGGGAGGGGGGGACAAGTCTTGTGAGAGGGAGTGTCCTCTCCCCTTCCCATTCTTCCCTCTCCCCTTCCCATTCTCCCCTCCCCTCAGTCTTGTGTCCCTCATGTGAGGGAGGGGGGGACACAAGTCTTGTGAGAGGGAGTGTCCTCTCCCCTTCCCATTCTCCCCTCTCCCCCTATCTCCCATTGTCCTTCCTCCATGTGTCCCACTCCCTCCAATACTCCCTGTCCCACTCCCTCCAAGTCTTGTGAGAGGGAGTGTCCTCTCCCCTTCCCATTCTCCCCTCTCCCCTTAGTCTTGTGTCCCTCATGTGAGGGAGGGGGGGACACAAGTCTTGTGAGAGGGAGTGTCCTCTCCCCTTCCCATTCTCCCCTCTCCCCCTATCTCCCATTGTCCTTCCTCCATATGTCCCACTCCCTCCAATACTCCCCATCTCCCTATGTCCCACTCCCTCCAATACGCCCCACCTCCCTATGTCCCACTCCCTCCAATACTCTCCACCTCCCTATATCCCACTCGCCCTCCAATACTTCCCTATGCTCCACTTCCTCAAGTACTTCCCGTCCCTGTCCCACTCCCTCCAATCCCCCTCCCCCCTATGTCCCAATCTTCCCCCTATCTCCTATTTTCTGTCATCTCCCTCGCATATTTCCCGTCCCACTCTCATTCTCATTCCTCCTCCATTATCCTACTTTCCTCTGTCCGTTTCTCTCTTCCCCTTCCATTCTTTTATCCTATTCTCTCATTCTTCCTCTTATTCTCTTAATTCTCCCATTTCAGGCTCTTCACTATTTTTCATACCCATATTTCGTATGGCAGTTTGAACGTGTGAAAAATGTAAGTCGTGCAAATGTAGCACTGTTGGGCTGGGACGCCAATGAGGGCGTGTGTGTGTGATTGAAAGACTGTCAACGCTGAAGGGATGCTGAGGCAGAGACGCCAATGAAGGCGTATGTATAATTGAAAAATGCAATTCTTGCAAATGTAGGACTGTTGGGCTGGGACGCCAATGAGGGCGTATGTGTGTGAGTGATTGAAAGACTGTCAATGCTGAAGGGATGCAGGGACGCCAATGAAGGCGTATGTATAATTGAAAAATGCAATTCTTGCAAATGTAGGACTTGGGCTGGGACGCCGATGAGGGCGTATGTTTAAGTGAAGATTGCAAGTCAATGCTGAAGAGCTGCTGAGGCTGGGACGCCAATGAGGGCGTATGTGTGAGTGATTGAAAGACTGTCAATGCTGAAGGGATGCAGGGACGCCAATGAAGGCGTATGTATAATTGAAAAATGCAATTCTTGCAAATGTAGGACTGTTGGGCTGGGACGCCGATGAGGGCGTATGTTTAAATGAAGATTGCAAGTCAATGCTGATGAGTTGCTGAGGCTGGGACGCCAATGAAGGCGTGTGTATGACTGAAAAACGCAGGACTGTTGGGATGGATGTAAATGTGGGCGTATGTTGCTAGGAAGATTAAACGTGTGGCAATACAGAAATAATGCTGAGGTTGGGACGCCAATGAGGGCGTGTGTGTGACTGAATATTGCACATCTGGAAATGCAGAAAGGCTGCCAACTAAGACTAGGTTAATTCCTAATGAGTAAGGTCGTGCGGTACCACACCATGGCATGGGATAGGTAGTTTAGGCTTTGGTAGCCTGGCGGTGGCAGGCAGATTTAAATGGGAGGGGAGGGAAGGTTGGGGGGATTTTTTTTTCTTTTTTTTTTTCCTTTTTTTCCTTTTTTTTTCTTTTTTTTTTTAACCGCTCCTTGTGAGTGGCTCCAGCATATCATCAGCAGCTTGCTGTTGGTGAGCGATTTCTCGTGATAACCGAGCTATCACTTGAAATCCCAAAGTACTCTAGCAAAAAATATTTATTTCAATAAGAAATATATATTTATTGTTAGGTTCGTGATTTAGGGTTTCACGCAACAAAGGATTTCTTTCTTATTGAAGTGTTCCTTTAGGAATACTTAATGGAAGGATTTCCTTTGGACGACTCGCCCTGGTCCAGCCCGATGTCACAGACCTCACCGTGGTGGGCTGGTGAACTTGGAATAGGATAATTCTTCCCCTTATAATCTATGAAAGTCATAGTTTACGGATTTGTTTTATCTCATTTAATTTGTTAAGAGTATGGATAATACAGTACTGTACAGTAAATTTATGTATGAATTTTCAACATTATTCTTTATTTAGCAGCAATACTCTATGCAGAATTTGTCATAGATTAGTTTTTGATTTTAGTATAGTTTTCTGACAAAGGGAAGAATTATATTCCATGGCCAACATGTGACTATTTTTTATGTGGTTATAATTAGAATGTTAATTTTACTGCAGATCAAACTTTTTTTAATGATAGAATTTGGTTGAATAAAAATAGAAATCGTAACATATTTTATTATCCCTACATTGCTCTTATCTTATTTAATTAATCAAGATTTTTAAATGCATAATATATTGGTTTATTACAAATTTTGATTTATTATGATATATCTCTAAGCATAGAATATTCTGGTAAATCTGAAAGCTAATGATAAAATTAAAATTTATATGGTAAATTTGCCATGATTTGCAAGACAAGATGAGTTAGTCAGCTTTAAATAGGAAATTCTGAGGTGCTTATGTTAAATAGTATTGCATATCTCACGTTAGTACTAGGGGACGGTGGTGAAAAATGAAATATTAAAGTTCTCCTTTCGCTTATTCATTTAATTCTCTTTTTAATTGTATAGGCTTTAACCTGTAAAAACAATCTAGGGTGGACATAAAATTATAGAACGAGGATCGAACCAGCGTCCTGTGTAGCCCTAGATGTGCACCATAACCCATGGATCACTACACATTAAAGGTTAACCTGGGATCTGCCTGAATCTTCAGTGAGTTTGGAGACACGTGTTAGTGCCAACCCAAGTTTTACAAACAACCTGTATGCACTTTAATTTAGGTAACAGTTCTCTACAAAACTTTCAAATACACTAAGGAAATCACAAGTGTGTGATATATCTTATCAGAAAATCAATGGAGCACGACTGGTATCGATCCAGTGTTCTGGGTAACCCCAGACGCCCCCCTCTCTACCCATTTACCACAACATGCCAAAACTAAGCTGAGATTCGCCTGAATCCACGCGGAGTCTGGAGAATCTGGTAGTGCCAAACCAAGTTTTGCAATTAACTGTAATTTTCCCTGAAGGTTCGCTGCCACAGACCAGCCACGGCATACATTTTCTTCTATTATCTTATATTTTTTTTTTGTAAATATATTGGTGAAAACACGTTTAATCATGTTACATCATCTCGCGTTGAATGTTACATCACCCCAGTTTTAGCAATCAATGCCTTAATTATGTACATGTAAATGATAAATAAAAAAAATTATATAGAAAAACTTTATAAAATAATAAGATCGAGAGGGTCCACTGGTTATTTAAAATTTTGAATCTGCATTTCTAAGAAAAAGTGACATTTTTGTTTGTGGTGAAAACAACTCCTGATTTATCTTTCATAACATTTTAAATATTAACCTTATTCAACTTAATCATGGGGATCTAACAGGAGAGGATATTTGATTCTTGATAAGTCCTTGCAATGGATCAACGATTATAAAATGTACTAAATGTGTTCAATAAAGCACCATTTGGCCTTATTCCCAAAACTCTGTATTAGTTGCCTGGTCTCTCAAATCAATTAGCCTAATTATCAAAGTTCTAAAGTGGTGGCGGCATTATTTGTTTTATGAGTAACTTTCTTTCATCTGATCTGTAAAAAAGTGTCCAAGATATATTTAACACCGTGGTCATCTCTCCACTTTCCTGATAACTGGTTTGAGCATTATCTGCTGTGAGGGCGGATTCCCAGTTCTCTGAGGTTATATTAAACAAAAATCAAAATTCAAAATGTTTATTCAGGTAAAAGTACATACATAGATGAGTTACGAAACATAATGTTGGATAGTATTGTTGGATAGAAACATAATGTTTATTGATAGAGCTAGTACATGCAATACCTAAAGCCACTAAAACGCACAGCATTTCGGGCAAACCCTATGGTTATTAGACCTTAAAGGGTTACAAAGTAATAGCAACCATTGCAATGCTTATTACCGTCATTGTACAATAACAGCAGTACTTGATTGTCATACGAATGATTAAATTAATTGTATTTGTCAGATTACGTGAAATTTTGTATGAATGTATTGGGATATTTTTTGAGTAATGTGGCTCAAGAATGTCAGCAATTAGCAAATTTAATGAAGGAATGTAAGGCAGAACTTCCGTTCTCTATTTTATTTTATTATTATTTGAATGTATCATGTTAGGAAGACTGGTATATAAATTATGCTATATTAATGCACATATCATGGAGACAAATATTTCCAAAAAAATCAAACTTGTTTAAGCAATTAAAAATGCTTTATATTCTGAACTCACATCACTACTGTCTCTGACAATAAGAAACCATATTTCGTCAAACAATATAGGAGCTTTACAAAGGCGTGATGTATCAATAAGAAAATAAATAATGCAGTGACTTGAACTAACGTTCTGGTGATTCCCAGACACCTACCTTTACCTTATTCTGTTGACCGAAAAATAGAATGTGTATATAATAGAAGTGAATGTGGCTGATTAATAAAAGTTAAATATATAGACATGGTTTAAGTAAAACAAATATAGATGAAGTATTTTTATTTATGCCATAAATTAATGAAATATTCAGCACATTATGGACAGTAATAATGCAAAAGGAAATGTTGGGTTAATTATACCTGTTGCAACAGTCGTTCATATTTCCATTGGGTGGTGGCTATTTGTTCACCAAGACTAAGTAAACATTGGGACTTTTTTTCAGGGATATATATGTTTGTGTATTTATCAGAAGAAAATTTAAATGGTTAAAGCCTCTTCAATCAGATGAAAACCAAATTAATTCTGTTTTAATGACGTTCCACATCCATTTGGATTGAGTCAGCAGAGCGGAGTCTCGCTTCTAGAAGGTCATCATTCTGTTCCCCATAACCCAAGTGATTAGCACGTTCTTTCATTCGTTCCTCATATCCCATTTATGCTGTCCTAATAGCTCGTCCATGTGCTATATTGTTATTTTGGCTTAGCGCTTTCTATTGATAATTATCTAACCTCCCTCATATGAGGCTTCCGGTTTTTTGAGTAAGGCAGATTCACGCGGAATCCAACATTAAGACATTTCAGCCACTGTACCTACAACGGCCTTGAATGATGGACAATCTCAGATGCTGAGTAAAGGCTAAATCATACAATTATTTCCTTCAGCAATCTTCGTTCGCATCAGCACCTTAATCATCGCTAAAGATGTTTACGTGATCGTATAGTTGATATATGAAAGAACCGCGTTCGCCCCATGTTTGCATGTATAAACAAGAATTACAAAATAAATACTCTACATATATTTAGAAGAAAAGTTGATGGAATGGAAAAAAAAAAATCACAAGCAGGAGGATATGGAAAGGAGTGAATGATTCAAATCTAATGAAAAAACTATAATCTCTCAGCACTGAGCTGTATACTCATCTACATTATAAGAAAGAAAAGACTAGAAATGACAAAGGAAAATATGATTGAAAATGGGGTAAATTTCGATGTAGTTTTAAGTTGTACATTTGAATGATTGACTCTTTTCATCCATTCATCTGTTTTCAGTCACTGGAATATTGGCTAACGTCGGTTTTAGTACCAAAAAATATCCAGACACACCATTTTAAAGTTCATATAAACTTTCAAAGTTACGTTGACATTAAATGCCAGTGTTTTGTGTGTTTCAAAATATATAACGTTATCAGTTAATCGAAAGTCAGAAACGTGAGTCAGTGCAAACGAATAAAAAATTAATATTTTTTCGTGGACGGGAGGATAAACTGTTCTCAAAGATAAAGCCCATTTTACTCTCGGGTTCCGTCCCGACCACTTTTGAAAGCATGTCGGCCTCTGGTAGAAATTGATCACTAATCAAAAATTTTTTTCAGAAATGAACCTTCGGCAGTTTCCCTTATATTTTATAATGGTCAGTGTGTCAACATCTTGTCATTTCTAGTGATGTGTATATTGAGGTCTATATTCTGATTGTGTAGTTATTTAACATTAAAAGAATATTAAATACATTTCATATTGTATGTTAAAACTTATTCATTAGCTGCTAGTAGTGTAAATGTAAAATTAACCTCTTCCATAAAATCATTTTCTTGGCGTTGCAAGTTGCCCACAATAATGCAAAAAAATACCTGAATTTAGAAGATTAAGATACTGTGCCCATATGCATTTATTATTTAACTTATATTTGTCTTTATCTCTCTCTCTCTATCTATATCTAGCTCTCCTTCCGCCTCCCCACTCATGTTATACACATTCTGTACGTGACCCATTCGCTAATTGAAATTTGACAACTAACTAAGTTAGCGGCTTCCTAATACCGTGTGTGTGTGATTGTTAGTTTGGTGGAAAAATTAATTCAAGTTATACATTATATCGCAGTGTAACCTAGCCAGAAATCTTTCGGTTGTATCCCAACTGAAAAGATTTTCGCTATTTCGGTAGATTGGATTCAACCAATACAATTCGAAATCTTTCGGTTGTATCACTTAATATCTGAAACGTATAGTTTATTCGGAATCCTAATACTGTATTTTTTTACAACTCGTGGTTGCCGAAATAGCCACCTTCCTGGGCAGTTTCATCGTGTAATAGATTATAGGTCTTGACCATTGATATATGAAATCTTCTTATTATAGTTTTCCATCTGATCATTCAGCAAAAGTGAATTAACACACTCTTCGAACCATGAGTTCTTGAAGCAGTTATCCCTGAAAAAGATTGAACATATAAAGTTTATTGTCAAGTAAATAAAGGAATATAAATACAAAATACATGTATAAGTATAAATATAGTGCATGTCGTTTTAGTTTATTCAACGAATAAATACTTGAAAAGTGTATGTAAATCCTGATAGAACTGTAGATTAAAGTTTATATTTTCATATCATTATAAACTTATGGGCAAAAGTATTTAGGATAGGATTTTCCTTGCTATATAGCACCCAAGAGTTATGGCGGGTCAGGCGCGCAAAACTTAATTCATGAAAATGTGATAAACTTATGATTCAAAGTGATTAATCTACTCGTGCAACCTGTCCCCAGGAAGATCCGCTGGAGGTAATGGATTCAAAACTATTAAGTAATAGTGCTATGATATACTCAATGTATGGCTAGGTTAGGTTACGATTACGTTAGGTTAAGATTTGGTTTGGTTAGATTAGGTTTTATTATTGAATCACTTATGATATAACAAGATTATTGATATGCATATGTATGTGTATAAATGTATATTATATTATATATGTTTGTAATATTAACAATTGTGTAACTAGCTTCACAAGGTTGTCACTTAGATAAATACACTGTGGGGGTTCAGTTCCTGAACCCCTTATGTGCCTCTAACCCTTTCCACCACTGCCCTCGGGAAGGGTATGGGGGTGCATAATAAATAAATGAAACTAAAATGTACAAACATATTTGAATATATATATATATCGCTAAGAACTCTATGACCCGATCAGGATTCGAATCTACATAGCATATAAATTGTATAAAATATATATACTTACTTGCATTTCATTGCCAGTTGGGAATCCCTGCGGTAGATATTCTGACAGTCTTCACAAATGCGGTTAAGTTCATTGTAGAGTTTCTTATCAAAGGTGCCTTGGCAGTTGACGTACTCGAATTCCTTCAGGGTGCCCGGGCGGATTTTGTAGAAGGAGCCGGATGTGTTCTGGCTCTAGATAATGGGCAACATGCAAAATTTATTTTACCGTAGATAATAGGTTAGTGGGAAAACTCATATATACCTGCTGAACACTTACAGAGTTATATATTGATTTGAAAATATTGTTTTGTTATCACACGAGCTTGAAAAAAATATCAACTTTTAGCTGGTTTGTATCAAACCATATGAGCTAAATATACAAATGTAATTTCATCACATGCAACATAAGTCAGTGCACTATCAAATCTGATATTTATGCACCATTGTCAGCATTCCTCGCACTCTATTACTTGCTTCTCTACATATTACTCCTTTGTTATCTGTTTGGAGTTTCAGCTACCACTAACTACCTTAAACTCATCATCGCCTAACGCAAATAACTATCAGAACAGTACAACATTCTGTCATATATTATACAACAGCATTATGCAAATCTCAAAAAGATGATAAACATTGCATCCTTCTGTGCTCTCTGCTCATATAAAACAATATTCTAAGATTGAATACAAATACAGAACCTCTCGTAAAGGTCCAGGATGATGACTTAGATTACCATCGAGCAAACTATCAGGCAATGAAAGAGGAATTGCAAAACCTCTCATTGAGGGAGCTGATAGGTAATCATGGCATGGAAACATCATGGGAGAATTTCAAAAGGGTCATTACTGAACTCGTATAAAGATATATGCCAAAAAGGAGAAAGAAAAGAAAGTGCACAAGATGGATGACACAAGTAGTAAAAAAAGCGCTAATAACTAAACGGAACCTCTGGCGACGGTATAAATCAACGATAAACATCATGGATTATAAGATATATAAAAGAGCATTAAATTCAGCTACCAAGGAAATCAGATTAGCCAAAAGAAACTACGAAAGAAAACTTGCCCAAATCATACAGGAAGATCCAAAATCATTCAATGCATATATACGTAGTAAAATCAAAACAAAAGATTCTGTAGAACCCATAAAAGATGAGACTAATCAAGTTATATTGGATGATAGAAGGGCAACAAACACTCAACGAATACTTTACATTAGTGTTCACACTAGAAAGATTGAACGACATCGTCGTCCCTTCACTTTCTAGTGTGTGATCTGGTCAACATTGAACGACATCCATCACCCACACAAATGCTTGAAGGTGAAGAGAATGAATTAAGGGATATACCCATTACATGCGACACAATCAGGAAGACCATTGACAAACTAAATGACTAAAAAAAAATCAAAGCCAAACGTGTATGAATACATTCTGGCTTCCTGTCCCGCGACAAAATAGATATCATATTATTATTATACTTTACTCCTGTACATAGATCAGGACTAAGGTAAAACATCAGTGTATATTCACCTTGAATCGTGGGTACACCTCTTGGTGTATCAACACCCCCTTCAGCCCCATGCTATAAGTCAAATACTGACTTATGTAGACTCTAATAAGTCAGTATTTGACTTGCATAACCGAAAAATAACTGACCGGATTAAACAGCATAATAAACTTTTCTCAAATGGTATACCTTATGATTTCACAAAGGCACAGGAAGCCTGTTTGGTATAAAGTCCCCCTAGCCCAAATAATGACCGTTCACAGGATACAAACCACAACAATTGCCTGACTCTCGGGTGCCTAATTACAGCTAGGTGTACAGATGCATCGGATAAAAGGAAACGTAGCCCGAACACTTGGGTCCTACCGCGGGAATTTAACCCAGAACCTTTTGGATTTAGAGTTAGATGCCCTAAACCCAAAAAGTTACCACTGCGCCACAAGACTCTAAATTCAAATAAATATTATTAAACATTGTGGTTTTATGCTTAGTTATTGCTAAATTTAGGTAAGATTTTGTGGCTACCTTGCACTAAGGAATGTTTACAATACAGCCTGAAAGATGCAATGGACACACGTTGAACAAGGGGCGTTACTTGATCATGTTTAGCCCAGTACGGAGTTCCAATTTACTGCTAGGGGGAAAAATATCATCGAATCTATGAAAACTCGACCAGGCGTCTCACCCTGCATGAAGATATAATGAAAGTGAGCTGGGATATAGGGGCTGGGTACTTGTATACACTTACCTGTGAAAGGAGTCCGAGAATCAGCAGAAACCACACACATGAACTCCTCGCTGTGGAAGCCTGTCACGCGCAAGAAACTCAAGTGTTACATACTTTGAACTAAAACAAAAGAACATATGTTTACAAATGCATAAGTGATTTCAGATTTTATGAGTTATTCACTTCCTTCAATTAAAGCCCTATCCAAATGCGTTATCCATTTATACAAAATGATTAACAAATTAGCTTTGTAGACAACATTGAAGTAAAATTTAAATATCGGTAAAATTGCTGGAAAATGCTAAAGCCAGTTCCCTTCCGTCTTACCTGGAGTAGCAACATATCGTTAAGATTTCCCAGGAGAGAGAAAGATATATATTCTCGGGTGAACTGTGGCTCTCCGTGGCTCGTTGAACACCAACTGTCTCCAACGGTTGACTGCCAAGATACGGCCGCTTTCGCCCCTAATATCTAGAAGGACAGTGATTACCCAGCGGGGGTCAAGCACCACCATTAGGTCACTGCAGGCTCATTAGGTCGAACTCATGAAAGAGGGCCGCCCACCTGCTTAGAATCCCTCCTCCGGCGGCATCATGAGCTCAATAGGTTCATTACTTGCGTCTCGCTGGGTCTTTGCATATGCTTATTCCAGGACATATTAATCTAACGACCACTGTCTTTTTTGAATGTCAGTTAATTTACAAATTTTAAATATTTAGCATTTCCCCATGCGTTATCATTACAAGGTAATCAAATGCGAAGATGAAAATTTGCGATGCATTAATGTGGGAACTCATTTTAAGAAAGCAGTCGTTCGATTTATTTGGTATATAATAGTATATAATATTAATACATACATAACATGTTACATTTGTGTTTCTACAACCTTCTTTGCTGATTTTGCTGGATACTTTTTTTCTTTCTCGCGTTTCTTTCTTTCCTCTTCCTTCCCTCCGCCCCATCCCAAATCTTTATCCTGATCCCATCCCAGTGCTATAGTCGCAATGGCTTGGCGCTTTCAGCTGACAGTTCATCTCCTTTCCATCCACTTCATCTACCTTCTTTATGAGGCTTCCTGATGACTCGGTTCCGATCTCGAATATTCTTTTGTTTGACTTCTTATGTTCTGATGGAGGATGAGTTGAGGCGAGTTCGAGCGAGGGGGAAGCTTTTATGTCGAACCCTGTCTTCGTTGCCGAACCCGATCTCGACGGACTGACGGTTCTTGAGGTAACGATTGCGAGGTTTATATCCTCACGAATGGCTTCAAGTTCTCTACAACTAAGAATTTCTCTAAAACTTTTCCTCTGAAGCAGGTCGTTCTTCGTCTTCCATTGTCGCTCTATGGTAGTTCCCTTCTGTTTCAAGATTCTGCTAAACTTTTGGGGGTTTATCTTTGACTCCCGTTTGTCTTGGTCACCTCATATATCTTACCTCAGAGTTGAATGCTCTAAGGCCCTTACCTTATTTAAAGTCTTATCACATATTTCCTTGGGAGTTGATAGTCGTACACTCTTCTATCTACATTCCTCTCTCGTGCTGTCTAAACTCGATTAGGTGTGTCCCGCCTACTCCTCCTACCTCACCTTCGACTCTTCGTCGCCTTCATGCTTTGCATCATCTGGATTACGCCTCAGCTATGGTGCCTTTCGTTCATCACCTACCCTAAGCCTGTATGGTGAAACTTGACTCCTGTCTCTACAGGACTGTCGTGATCATTACTGCCTTCTCTACTATGCGCGGTCCCTGAAACATCTTCATTCTATTAGTGTGTCGCTCTTTGATTGTTACCCCTCATGTGGGCTCTTTATCCTTTCACCACCTTCCTTTTTCTGAACGGATGTCTCACTTGCATGATTCCCTCTCAGTTCATGTTAGCAATATCTCTCCTCGTGTCGTTCCATCTTTGCACCCAAGATGAACATCCGTTCATGCGGTAGGAGCAATAGAAGCCTTTACCATGTGGGTCATGGTCATGCAAAACTTTGCAAGACTATAAGCAAGATAGTACTATAAGTACTATCATTTCAGGAAGATGGGGTTGAATAAATTCTACAGACAGGGCGCCACCCTGATTCCACCCAGCAGATTCGAAATCAACATTGTTTTGAACAATTGAACAAATAAAGCAGTCTGTATTAACAGCGAGGCTCTTGATATTGTATTATCAATAAATATAAATCAATTATCATTAAATAACCAGTAAGAATGAAACTGCAAAAGGCCTATATGAGGTGCCACTAACTCACACATATTTATGTGTACTCACTTAGTTGTACTCACCTAGTTGTGCTTTCGGGGTTTGAGCTTCGGCTCTTTGGTCCCGCCTTTCGACTGTCAAACTTAATGTTTGTATTTACTATTCGTGTCTGCAAAATCGAGCTATTAGCCTTTTTAACCAATCGATTTTTACTCTATTATATCTATTACATATATTTCACTCTAACATACTCTCACACGCACACACACACATAAGATACGGCCTTTAGAAACCTGTGTAAGGAATTTTTCAGCTTTGTTTACCACATATGTCAGCCCAATCCTGGAGTATGCGGCTCCATCATGGAGTACATATCTAGTCAAGCATAAGCCTAAACTGGAAAAGGTTCAAAGGTTTGCCACCAGACTAGTACCCGAGCTGAGGGGTATGAGCTACGAGGAGAGACTACGGGAATTAAACCTCACGTCACTGGGAGACAGAAGAGTTAGAGGGGATATAATCACTACATACAAGATTCTCAGAGGAATTAATAGAGTAGATAAAGACAGGCTATTTACCACAAGGGGCACACGCACTAGGGGACACAGGTGGAAACTGAGTGCCCAAATGAGCCATAGAGACGTCAGAAAGAATTTTTTCAGTGTCAGAGTAGTAGACAAATGGAATGCATTAGGAAGTGATGTGGTGGAGGCAGACTCCATACACAGCTTCAAGTGTAGATATGATAGAGCCCAATAGGCTCAGGAACCTTTACAATAGTTGACTGACAGTTGAGAGGCGGGACCGAAGAGCCAGAGCTCAACCCCCGCAAGCACAAATAGGTGAGTACACACACACACACAGGAAGCAACCCGTAGCAGCTGTCTAACTTCCATGTACATATTTACTGCTAGGTAACAAGGGCATCAGGGTGACAGAAACTCTGGCCATTTGTTTCCGCCTCCACCAGGGATCGAACCCGGAACCTCAGGACTACGAATTCGAAGTGCTGTCCACTCAGCTGTTAGGCCCCCTAACTGTAGTTAGGGGTTACCCTGTAGTTAAGGTAACTGCCTAAGTGTAGTTACGCGATGAGAGCTATGCTCGAGGCTGTTAAAGCGACATCAGGACTCCTGGTTCAACATTGACGACGAGCGGACGTCTGAACATCTGCTCCACCTGGGAGCCGCCGGATCGCGTTCTGTTTCGCGATTTTGGATTTTGATACTGCCGTTTGGTATTCTGGCAGCTGATGTCGCCAAGAGTGTCCACTGAAAGGTAAGTTCGTTGAACTGGGTTAACTGACTTCCATGCAGATTGTATTATGGGTTCGTCATCCCTCCACTTTCCTTTTTTTGGCACATATATTTTAAAGGTATCAGTGATGATCTGGAGATTTTCCCATGATGCTTCCATGCCATGGGCTAAGATGGATTACAATTATAGAAACCCACGTAAAGGTTCACAAGGATGACTTTCTAGATTACCCTCAAGGGTAATCTTTGATTAGCTCACTCCAGGAGGTGTGTTGTAATTCCTTTTATTCCTTGATAGAGGATACCCTAGATTACCCTTGAGAGTAATCTAGAAAGTCATCCTTGTGGACCTTTACGTGGGTTTCTATAATTGTAATCCATCTTAGAATATTGTGATCACGCGAAAAGGTGAGCTTTTTCCCACCTGAATTTACCTGAGGGCCACTAACTCTTTTGGCCTCGACGAGGACAGGAAGCCGGCGGCGTGTCGACGTTTCCCCCATTTACCATGATTTGATCAATCATGCCATCTACTACAATGATCATCTGCCCTCTCCTGCTCTGAATCTTTGTATTGGTCTGTGTTTCATGACTCCTTTAGTTTGCCTCTTAGTATTCTGTCGGGGTTTTGCACAAAGCAGCCTAAGAACAATAATGCACCAAGAACTTCAACAAAACTTTGTAAATCTGAGGCAAAGTGAAATGCACACTAGCAATTCATGATAACCAAATCAAATTATGAAACTAACTCACTGCAAATGCGAATTGCTTAGCTTAGAGAATGTACTTGTGGTCGTTCTCGAACCCATGGTTGATATATATACATTACAATGTAACTTGCTTGTCAAGACTCACTTGCTTGGCAAAATAAATTTTGGGGTTCAGTCCCTGAGCCCATTATGTACCTCTCTAACCTTTTCCCCAACTGTCCACAGGATAGGTATGGGGTGCATAATTATGGAACTCGACTCAAAATAACTCTACGCTCTATACTTTCATCCTTTTCCCTAACCTATTGGCAGATATTCTCTCTTTATTTCCTCGATATTTCTGCCCGAAACGCTGCGCGTACTAGTGGCTTTACAAGAATGTAATTACTATGCTATGTATCCTCACAATCTCAATGTACCTTCTTGTATATATATATAAATAAATAAATAAATAAATAAATAAATAAATGTAACATCATTATTTACGTTATATTTTTTAAAGTTTCTATCATTTTCGAAAAATATAAATTATCTTTGACAGATAACTACCATTATCACAATAAAGAAGTACTGTCTCTAGAGAAAGTAGGCCTCCTGTATTAAAAATAGAACATCATCATAAATAGCCTTCTTATTTTATCTTGCAGCGAGCGATCGATCGAGCTCGATATTATGCCAATTATAGAGAGCTATATCTGGTATAATGGAACATCTTATATAGATATATGTTCTACCACTTAGGACTCAAGTCACCGGGTGATGGAGGTCGGCACCACGCTAAGATAAACTGTCACACGAGGCAGTCCTTGCGGGGCGCTAGGCTGCCGATGCTGCAATTGAGTAATATCTCTCACAAACGATATTCTGTTGTGATATAAATAGAGAGGGCCTCGTGTGAGCCAATAGACCTTCAGCAGCTTCACTTATTCGAATATTCTTATGAACACTTGTGCTAAATCTCACCTTTTTTTAACCTTCCCTTTGTTGTAAGGATTAATATGCAGATAAGAAACTAGGCTTTAAGCTTTAGGCTTTAAGAACACCCACTGCAGCCAGAAACATGGCATAAGAACAAGGTAACTGCAGAAGGCCTATTGGCCTATACGAGGCAGCTCCTATTTATAACCACTCAATCCCACTCATATACAAGTCCAACCCACGTTTGAAACAATCGAGGGACCCCACCTCCCCCACGTTACGCGGTAATTGGTTCTACAAATCAACAACCCTGTTACCGAACCAGTATTTACCCAAGTCTTTCCTAAATCTAATCTTATCCAATTTATGAACAAATCCACAAAGGCCGTGACGAGGATTCGAACCTGCGTCCGGGAGCATTCCAGACACTGCCTTAATCGACTGAGCTACGATAGGGTAAAAGAGTTGAAACCGAAGTTCTACTGAACTTACTGGATCCCGTAGTCTCTCCGAGGCACAAACCAGGGTTTTACACAACTCCCCCCTGCACCCGAGCTATGTCAATAGGCCGTTCTCCCTCTTCGCCCTTACATTAAGGAGTCATGCAACATCTGACTGCCTGGCGAATGATGCAACAACTGAATGGGACAAAACTTGTACGTCAGTATATCGACGTACTAGGAAATAGGATGTTTGTTTAATTTTCTTCTTATTAAAAAAAAGTTGTCAGTGTTTGTTTATTACATGGGAGTCATGGGTTTTGTTTGAGAGAATAAAATTTGTTTACCAAATACCAAATACATAAGCTCACGTGTCCTGGCTTATGTCAACCAAGCCTATATTAAAATGTTTCCTCTCGCCTGCTTTTATTCTCCTAACCCCACTTGATCAATCACTCCCTCCGGGGTATTTTTCCTTTGTTTTCCTGATTCCACCTCAGATCACTACCAGAATAAATTTATACAAAACACTCACAGATACGGCCAAGAACCGTAGAACTTGACAACACTCCATAACCCCCCATATTAAACAGTCAGTTCGATAATGACCACATCTCATAAAAAAAGCTGAGTTACACCGAAAAACAACACCAAAAGGGTTATCTTGAGATGATTTCGGGGCTTAGCGTCCCCGCGGCCCGGTCCTCGACCAGGCATTTTTGTTACATTTTTGTTTCCTTTTTGTTACACCCCCCCAGGAAGCAGCCGTAGCAGCTGTCTAACTCCCAGGTACCTATTTACTGCTAGATAAACAGGGGCATTAGGGTGAAAGATACTCTGAGAGCCAAAAAAAAACCATAGTCGGGAAAGAAAAACGCAGAAACACCACACTACTCGCGATGAGTCACAATAACGTGGCTGAATTATGTTGACCAGACCACACACTAGAAATTGAAGGGACGACGACGTTTCGGTCCGTCCTGGACCATTCTCAAGTCGATTGTCGTACTGTAACGTACGTTTATGTTACGTTGTTGGGTAGATTAGATACACATTGTTTAGTGAGTTTTCATATTTATTTAGTAGTCTTGATTACAGTAGTCAGTTGGTGGCATTGTCGTAAACGTTCAGACGGAGCTTGGGGCAGAGCAGAGAGCTGAGTGAGGCCGGAGTCGCGGAGCTCTATGTGGGAGAGCGTGGCGACTCGATTGGGAACTGTGAGTGTCTGAACTCGGGGAGCGAGAGCGTTGTAGCTCGATGTGGTCGTAGTCTGCTGTTTGCTCTGTGTCGAAGCTGTAGCGTCTTGGGTCGATTAGAACTGTACACGCCGAGTGCTACATTGTTGACTGGGAATTGTACTGTCCGCTATTCCTCATATCGCTTGCTTATATGGTGACTACACCTCAGCTCCCTCCAACAAGATGAGATGAGTATTACCTGTAATTGGGGAAAGGATTGTAGCTTCTGTAATTATAATTGTCCGATTTGTAATAAGGCAAATCGGACACTTGGATTTATTAATCGCAGCGTTAGTAACAAGACACCTGGTGTGGTTCTCAAGCTATATCTTGCTCTAGTTAGGCCCCATTTAGATTATGCAGTTCAGTTTTGGTCGCCATATTATAGAATGGATATAAATTCACTTGAACGTGTCCAGCGTAGGATGACTAAGTTAATTCCCCAAATTAGAAATCTTTCATATGAAGAAAGATTAACAAAGCTTAAGTTGCATTCACTGGAAAGGCGAAGAGTTAGGGGTGACATGATAGAGGTTTACAAGTGGATGAATGGACATAACCGGGGGGATATTAATAGGGTATTAAAAGTATCAACACAGGACAGAACACGAAACAATGGATATAAATTGGATAAGTTTAGATTTAGGAAAGACTTGGGTAAATACTGGTTCAGTAACAGGGTTGTTGATTTGTGGAACCAATTGCCGCGTAACATTGTGGAGGTGGGGTCCCTCGATTGTTTCAAGCACGGGTTGGACAAGTATATGAGTGGGATTGGGTGGTTATAGAATAGGAGCTGCCTCGTATGGGCCAATAGGCCTTCTGCAGTTACCTTTGTTCTTATGTTCTTATGTTCTTATTAGTGCTAATTAGTTATGCTATTAAGATAATGAGGTAATGGAGCGAGTATAAGATTAACTCGCAACTCGTGTGTTGCTCTTGAGCTGTCTTCTAGGGGCGGCCCTGGCCGGGCACGAGGCCACTGCCCCTTTACAAAACTTGTGAGAACACTAGCTGTCTACTCAATCTTCAGTGCACATACCGTCTCTTATAACGGTATATAAGTCTCTCTTATAACGTCCACCGTTACCTTGTACACATACAGTTAACTGTATCAAGACATTAACGTGACCAGAACCATTATACAACCATCAACAATGCTTGTGACTTTGAGAGTGACTGACCCCGGATCTCACGACGCTGACCGCCACAAACTCTACAGTCTTTGTGCCCAGTAATGACACCATGTCTGACACAACTTGTGACACGTATCTGCAGTTATTTTTAGAGTTAAAGAACATTGTCAACTCAGTCTTCAGTGCACATACCGAAGTCTCTCCTATTACGTCCACCGTCACCTTGTACACATACAATTACCTGTAATTGGGGAAAGGATTGTAGCTTCTGCAATTAGTGCTAATTATTATGCTATTAAGATAATGAGATAATGGAGCGAGTATAGGATTAACTCCCTACACTTCCTTCTTCAATAACACATTTAGAAGACAAAGAAATATATATTCATTCATTACAACGCAACACATGGCCTACATCTACATCCCGCATAAAACTAAAACAATAATAATAATAATAATTATCTGGTCATATATCATGCAAGCTGGTTCAATGACGACACATCCTCTTTCCCAAGTATCGCTTCAGAGCGACGTATCGCAGTCAACACTGTTCGTACTGCATCCTATGCCAGTCTATAGTGGTGACTGAACAAGTGTGTGTATTTATACTCCACATATTTTGTAGACTGACACCTATACAAGGTCTTCTGTAGTTATTCTTATGTTCTGATTTACCTGATTTAAATGAAGGACATTATCTCTCTAGTGGCCTCGATGAGGACAGGAATTTTGTTTTGACGACTGTCTCTAATTGAATGCGAAAATATCGCAGAATTCAGACATAGCTCCATCAATAGTGTTCAAGAAATGTGTAAGTACTTCATTCATAATAATATGCTACCAGGAATCTTAGACAAGTATCAAAAATTTACTTACTATATAAGTATTCCATGCACAGGACTAAAGCTGCCGTCCAGTTATAATTGAAATAATTAATAATTATTATAATTATAACTGGACCGCAGCTGTAGTGATGTACATGTTGGATGGGTGTAAAGCTGGATTAGTAACTGACAACAGACTCATAATCTGTGGTCAGACTATGAGTCTGTACTCAATTTAATATAAGACTGTCTCACCGCAGATGTAAGCTGCATGTATAGAGAATGTTGTAGGCCACCAATTCTTCAATCACTTGTGATGTAAAAAGACTATTGGTATACGTTGATGTATTTGTGTAAAATAAGAATATAATTGTGTAACTAGTTTCACAAAATTGTTACTTGCTTAGCAAAATGAACTGTGGGTCATGGGATGCTGCCCTGTGGCACCCCTACATTCTTTCTGTGGGTAATACTTTAATCCAGTTCAGGTGGTTGGACCATTTATCGTTACGTAAGCTATAGAAGCAGGCTCAGTCTCCGTAATTAGTATAAGACGTTAGCTGGTCTAGAAGTGTTCTATGCGCTTTTTGTGTTCACTATACCCCATGAGTGTTTGCTGCGCCCCGAACGTTTCTGCGCCCAGGCCTATTTACTACCACTCGAATTATGTTCGGTGGAAAGAGTTTGCTGTCACAATACATTGTCAGCTGATTCATCAAAACAAGTGCTAAACCACAACAACATCTTTTGGGCTACCCAGGATAGCCAGGACGCCAGGCGTTTATATCATCTGGAGTCACAGAGTATTGTTAGATAGTCTTCCAGTTGATACTCTGTGCTGGGTGCGGTCCGGCGCTCGCCTTTCCGGGTGTAGCGAGGCCGGGATCTTCAAGTATTTGCAAAGTATGTTTGTTGCCGTCTGTTGCAGTTTGTTGCCGTCTGTTGCAGTTTGTTGCATGCAACAAAGCAAAGTTGTTTTCCCCTAATTAGGCGATTTATAGTCGTAAGGCTTAGGGTTTTACCTGATAAGGGACCACCAGGGCACAGATGGCTCCTGTGTCATCTTGGCTACCAAATCAACATCATCAAATCAAATGTTATTGCTTTTTGTAAAAACGATTTAGATCTTTTAAAGTGCTCACACTCATCCGAGAGCCTGATCAGCGTCTAAAGGGAAGGAAGGAAAGTATTGCTATGCAGTGATCTGTTTTGGGCGAGTGTGATTTATAGGATGCCCGAAACGCTTTGCGTAATAGTGGCTTTAGGCATTGTATGTACTAGCCCTATCTATAAATCCATCACTCTTTGTAAACTCTCTTGTATGTATGTACCTTACCTAAATAAACATTTGAACATTTGATTTATGTTTGGATGCAAGTCACATCACACGCAAGACTTTTAACCAGCAGGTTATAAACCTTGCCTAACGTTAACCAACCCAACCCAACCTAAGCAAATACATCCTCACCTAACTGTTATATTTTTTGACAATCAGAAAATGTGTTTTATTGAACCGTCTTGTATACAATTTGACTGCTACGTATATTTAATGCTGATAATTGTTGGGCTCTGATCCTAATGGTGATAATAGAATTAAAAGGTATTAACTTAGTAATAGGAAGTAAGATCTTCACCTTAGTATGTTGTAATTACTGTGTTTTTTAAGAATATTTGGAAAGCTTCAAATTCTTGTGATTTAATAATGAGTAAAGCTGTGGCTGGCACAACCGCATTCAAGACTATTTTGTACATTAAGAGTTGGTTTTCCAGTTTGTCAGCTGAAAAATGTGTCAATGACAGCTTATTAGTGATAAATGAAAGCTTTTTATCATATAGTGTAATTTCAAAGCCACATTAATAATAATTTATTAAGTTACTGATTATTTCTTCAGCTTTCTAGGATCACTTTGAATTATATGACTATTTTTTTTTTCAGACATGAGAAGGCGTGCCGGCACAAGATGACTACAGAAGAAAATCCTGTGTGGACAGAGTGGATGCCACTCGGTAGCTTGTTGGACCAGTTGCCACAACAATTCCAGCGAGGTCTTGGGGCTGCTGACCTGTTGCTGACTTGCCTGGCAACTCTGCCACAGCACTTAGTTTTAGGCACCAATGTGGGGCTTGTTTACTTGGCTCATTTACCATCAGCCAACCTCATGAGACTCAAGTGTGAAGTAAGACTTGAATAGGAATTCATCATTGTTTCTTTTTTTGCATACAGAAGTGACATTAGGAAGATTTAGTAATGAATGTTATTATTAATAATGTGGATTTTGCATAGTCTTGAATTAGCATAATGTTAAGTGTTGCTGGTACAGTGCTGTATTTTTTTTTCATTAGATGCTTGACCAGACCAAACACTAGAAAATGAATGGACGACGACGTTTCGGTCCGTCCTGGACCATTCTCAAGTCGATTGTGAGAGTGAGACAAAATCGACTTGAGAATGGTCCAGGACGGACTGAAACGTCATCGTCCCTTCATTTTCTAGTGTGTGGTCTGGTCAACATATTTCAGCCACGTTATTGTGACTCATCGCCAGCATTAGATGCTTCATGCTCTTTGTCCAAAGGCAGGTCTTTGCTGCCACCTTTGTACCACTGCTTCTGCTTTGGTAGACTCACTGTGGGTTGATCTGGTTTCCCTGGTTTCAGGCTTGTGTTTCTCAGGTTATCCACAGTGTCATTCAGTCTAGCCAGCCTGTGATCTACTCTCATGCCTATCATGTTCATAGGTTTGCAACACTCTTGACTCTACTGTATTTGCCGAAGTGTCTTGGGCTATTTTCAGGAGCAGGGGTTTTGTGGCAGGCAAACAAGGTTATGGTGGTCAGGTATCTCTTGTCTGTCCCTGGTCCTTGTCGGTCTTGTGTGGCCTTGTGCGTCAAGGCCCGTGGTTCTTTCGTCATTATAATTCCTGCGGTGCTCCCTCCTCCCTGGTATTTCTCCTTTATTTCCTTCTCTGTGGGTAAGTAACTTCAGGGAGCCACAAAGGACTCCCCCCTCTCAGAAAACCAGCATTTTAAAACATGAATTTTAATGAAATGCCAATTTCTGAGTGAGCCCCAATGGCTCCCTAATACCCTTCCTTTCCCAGGGAGTCGGGAGTGATTTTTTCATCATCATAAAACTGAGGATGGAGCAACCGGCTAACCTGGTTTGCCTCCCTTCTTTCCCCAAATGAGGTGGGGGGAGGTGGGGCGTATGAGCATGTGCTAGTTTCATTAACATTCGATCGTTTGTTTTCATTATTGGGGAGTTCTTTTGGAGATTTTGAGGTGTTGATCATACCTTATAACCAACAGTGGTCCGTTTTGATTTGCTAACTTTATGGGTGCTTCTCCAGTGGTAACATACATTAAAATTCAGTGACAATTTTATCATAGTACTACTGCTCTCTGCACCTCTTTAAATAGGCAATTTAAAGAGGTGCTTTTGGCTGGTGACAATTCTAGCTTTTGGTCCTCAGTAGGCTGAAAAGAACTTTACGACTGATGCCACCTAGTAGTGCGGCACTGTATCAACTTTGTAGCTTCAAGGAGTCACTGGGGCTCATCGAGGATCTTGGATTTTCATCGTATTCAATGCTTGTGTTTTGTTGAAAATTCCCATTGCATGGGTTTTACTAAACTGCAATTAAAAATGTCATCACAAAACAAATGGTAAGAATTTGTTTCCTTCTTTGTTGATATTTAATTTACTATGTTGAGTGGGTTAATTCAATTGGTATGTATGATGTCTAATTGATGTTACAGGTTGGTCTAAAGTTAACAATCTATTATTTTGCAAGTGAATTAAAAACATGGTTATTAATTGACCTAGATTCATTACTGGAGTCTGGCTCCAACAACTAAAATGTCTAAATGTTTTGTGTGTTCTCGCACTGTTTTTTCTGAAAGGTGATCTCATGCCCTGCACAGACGTAACACACTTCTTCATTCCAGGAAAGATTGTACAGTACATGTTGAGATGTAATGTGTTCTAAACGAACATTATAATTTTCAGAATCCGTTGTCACCATTATCAAGTGTAGCAAGTTTACGAACTGTTGATGACATGATTGCTGCAGGAGCTGTTGATGGTACTCTAACAATTTTTCAACTTCCTAGGGTAGCCAATTTTCAGGATGCACAGTCATCATCTACATCAGGTAAGTTCTTAAATGGGTATCATCAAAATATGTAGAGAGTTTGATAAAGAACAAGATATTTACTTGTGAAAATATATAACATTAAAAATAATTCCTAACAAAAGTTATTATAAATACAGTAATTCTAATTTTGGTGTAAATCTTTACATAAATTTCACAAATACACAAGTGTGCATACTCGCTCAATGTTTTTGGACACCTTGGCTGTCAGTTAGGGCTTTGTGGCCTGTTCACTAGTCCAGCCTGAATTGTTGGCACCTTCCTTGTCGGGTGCTCATTACGGTGTGAAACTTTGCAGCTGTGGTTTGGGTGACTAGACATCGACTTCTTTGCATCGGTGTGATCTCGGTATCTGCCATTCCAGGGTGGATTCCCTGACTGTGAGGCCCTCATTGTGGATGCCTTTCAGCTAGCTTGGTTAAGTTGGGGGTGCATTTACCTCTTTCTCCTGGTCTGGCTGTTGCTCTGAGTGCTGACACGACTAGAGTCTTACAGGGGGGATTGTGATTCTTCTAGCTCCTTGGTGGCTGGCCCAGCCTTGGTTTCAGGCACTGCTTGCTCGGTGTCTGAACCTGGGTGTCTTTCCACTGCTCCGGCTCTTTCAGAGGGTCAGGTGGGTGATGTTCCTCACTGGTTCGACCTTCTCTTTTGCTCTATACGTTTGAGCTCTTTGGGGTGTATTTATCAATATCTGTAAGGTCATCAGGTGGCTGGTTGGTGATGTCCCCATTTGCAATCTTCTTTCCGGCGACAGTACTGTATGAGGTTTCTTGGTGATCTTTTCGGCCAGCACTTTATCTCCCTTCGTTGTTGCTCGTCGGTTTCCGGGCACGCTGTTTTGTCCTTTTACTCCTGACTGTTTCTTGATCAGCATCTCTTGCTGAATACTGTCGCCTCTTATCATACAGCATTGGTGAAGTCGCTCCATCTTATGTTTGGGGTTAATACTACTTCGGCCCCATTTTGCAAGCTTTCTCGCACTGTGTTTCATCTCCAGCCTAGTCATGTGCTGCCTGAGCCTGCTTGGTTTCTGGACCAGGTTCTTTCTTTTCTCTCTTCCTGCTTGTTTTAGGGTGGCCCTATGGTCCTGAATTTTTTTTATGCTGTGTTTTTTGTTTTCTTTGGCCTCTGGTTGTTTGGCTGGGGGTGTTTCATGCGCTTTGTCCGGTGGTGGCTTTATGCTGCTGCCTTTATGCCATCGGTTCTGCTTCAATGGACTCATTGTGGGTTGCTCTGATTTTCCTGATTCCCTGTTCCAGGACTCGTATATCTCAGGTCATCCACAGAGTTATTAAATCTAGCCAGCCAGCCTGTGGTCTACCCTTGTGCCCATAATGTCCTTTAGTATGCCGCTCTGATGGCTGTGTTTGCTAATATGTCTTGGGCCGGTATTTGGGTGTGGGAGATTCTGGAGTTCAAACACTGTTTTGGTGGCCAGGTATTGTATCTTGTGGACGTCCCTGGTCCTCGGCAGCCTTCATGCTGCCTAGGACCAGGGGACCTTAAGCTACACAAAGCTTGTGTAGCTTTGGGTTGTGTGTTGTGGTCTATGGATGTTTTCTTTGGATTTGATATCTGAAATAGTCTCTCCTCCCTGGTAAGTGCTCCTTTTCTTGTCTTCTCTGAAGGTAATTAGCTTCAGGGTACTGAAGGGGCTTTCCCCAGAAAACGAGTGTTGAATGTAATGAAATGCTAATTTCTGAGTGAGCTCCGAAGGATCCCTCACGCGCACCCTTCTCCAGGGCGTCAATGTGTTTCATCATCACAGAACTGAGGGTGGGTCAAGCTGGCTGACTCAGTGCGCTTCCCTACTCCACCCAAACGAGGGGGAAAGGTGAGGTAAACTAGCGGGTGTTAGCTGCACAAAATTTTGGTGTATTGATGGCGTTCTTTTGGCAATTTTGAGGCTGCAGTCTCGTTTTTAAACCATGCAGTAGTTTGTTTTGGTTTGCCTAATTTTCTGGGTGCTTTCTTGGTGATGGTAAGTATGTTTAACTTTAAATGTAAAATTTTCATAGACTTTTGCTCCCTGCACCTCTGAGGGGGCCAGGTTTTGGCATGTGGTCCCTGGTAGACCAATAGAACTCTGTGACTGATGACACCTGATAATATGGTACTGATCAATGTATGATAGCTTTAGAGAGTCTCTGGGGCTCACCCTGAAATTGGTGTTTCATTACATTCAATGCTGGTTTTTTAATTTTGAATCTTAAAATTTTTATTTTACATTCAAGTTTCTCATTTTTCAGATTCAAGAGTGCTAAGGCCAAAAGGTATCATTGCAGTACAGCCTACTGTCAAACGTTTTACAGTAGCAAATGTTCACAGTACTAGGATAACTAGCTTGACCTGGAGTCGAAATGGGATGCGACTCTTCTCTGGAGATGCAAATGGTGTAGTTTCAGCAGTAGAAATCAATTATCAAACTAGTGAGTGCACAGCCAAAAAGCTCTTGCTGGAGAAAAGTAGTATAACACAACTATCTTACCACTATCAGCTTTTGGCAGTATCTACCCTAGAGAGAGCTCTTATATATAATTTGACTCAAGGTAAAATCCATCAGGTTGGTCAGAAACCCCGCAAATATTTGGGGTTATTTGGATGTATATGGCATCCTACAATCTCGTGTTCTGAAGCTTTGCTTTATACTTCTCGGCCTGGACTGAGACTCTGGTCATCAACTAGTGAGGGGGAAGTCATGCATACTCACATCATAAAAGAATTGCCAGAAACAGCTGCAGCACGCTTGTTAAATCCTAGCATCGAGAAGCCTAGGGAAGGTGAAAAGTTTTCATTTGGGCTTTTACATATGCTTGGCACATCTCATATTGTTTCATATAATCCACACTGGATCTTTATAGTAGATGTAAATAGCTTGAAAGTGTTAAGTTATAGTGGACAATTCCGACATATAACTGGAGTAGCTGTCTCGGACAGAGAAATATATGTGTTAGAAGGATCCCGGTATGTTGCTTGTCTCAGCACTGAACCCCTTGAAATGGGAGAGAAGGTAACTCCTCCTCATACATGGATTTCTTCTTTAACTGAAGCTGAGAATCTGCGTGACATTGGCTCCCGGCTTGTGTCTAGAGGATCTGGAATTATTGAACAAATTGCTCGTGTAAGTGGCTCTGTTGCAGCTAAATTCTCTGAACATGCATCCTCAAGTGCAATAATAGGACACGATGCCAAGAATAATCAACAGCAAGGATTTAAAAAGACTAACCCAATGGCTACTTCACTCCATCAACCTTCACAGAAATTACAGCAGCATGATTATCTTGTACCAACTGCTGATATTGATATAAAGAGAGAGAAACAGGGCCATCATAGATCATCATCATCCGGAACAATACAAGAGAGTGAGCAGTTTCCACGTTCATCAGCCTCTGCACATCCACGAATGGTGCAATCTGTCAGCAGCTTTTTTCCTTCCCTCTTCTCATCTCCGTTACTTATAACATCTTTGGGGAAAACTCCTCCCTTGCAGGATATATACGTTACGGTAAGCACAAGGATAAAGTAGTACTGTTTATATCTCGGCATATTTGTACAAGGAATTTATTATTTATTATGTGGTCAAGAATATATTTTGGAATAATTCTATAAATTAATGCTTTGTAATTGGTGACATGGATTAGTATATGTGATCAGACATCACAGTAATTGCTTTGTCAATAAGGATTACACTGGTGAATTAATATGAAAGAAGCTTTACCTATGTAGTAGGCAGTTTGAATGAGGGGACTAGATAGGTACAATCTTGCCATCACACAGGAGTAATACAAAATATTACAGTACAGTACTGTAATACGATACTTTGTATTATTCATGTGAAATGTCAAGATCCTACCTATGTAGCCCTTCCCCATTCAAACTTCCCATTACATGGGTTCAGCCTCCTTTATATTAATTCACCAAAGTTATCCTTCTAAATTACCCCATCTGATGGTACTTTATTTGGTACAGTATGTGCAATAGCTAGGTGTATTAATGAGAAAAAAGTAATAAATGTGATAAGCGAAGAAAGTTAATAGAAAACTGAGAAAATATAAATTGAATGAAATGGAACAGTGCTGTTAATTGTAAAATATATTGTTCATTATCATTTATTTTCATAGTGTCAAGTGAAATTAAATTGCAACCGTGTTGATTCCAGAGATATGTTTCATGTTCAATATGAATCTGCTTTGTTCTCTTGTTTTTTATTTTCTTCTAGTTATCTTTCAATGTTAATACGATACTGTATATCTTTTCATATATCTTTTCCACCTTTTTAACTAAATTAATTACACGATACAATATGTGTTATAGTTATCATAACATTTGAACTCCAAAATGTGCGATATTTGATGATTTGTTGTAGGTGTATTGACAGTGGGTTGTGCAGTAATACGCGTTATGAAGTGATACCTATACAGTAAGTACAGTAGATGGTTCTGAAATGCATTTACAGCCACATGCAGGCGGTGGTGACAATATATGCCTCTGAGCATTACTTTGTAAATGCGCCAGACTAGTACAACAATAAAAAGAATTTGTTTACTCTTTTCTCAAACATTTCTGTAACTAAAAGAATATATATGTTAAATAGTGATTTTTTTTTTCTAGGGGCTGTAGCAAAAATGTCTTGTCAAAATTAAAGCCACAGGGCAAGGGTTAAAAAGAGCAGAAAATCTCACAAGTACGATTTTTCAGGGCGAGATGGAAGTTTCTGGAGACTTTGAAGAAATTGTAACAAGTTCTCAGATTGTTGCTCAAGAAGGTGGTGACTCTGAGCCATTGGTTCAAAGAGAGAAGCCAAAAAAGAAAATGAAGAAGAAATATGGTGAGTCTCGCTTCCAGTGTAAACTAAGAATTTCATTTAACTGTATAAAAGTTACTTATCATTCTTAAAAGGACTTTCAGTAAACTCTGTAGATGATGTCAAAATGCATTGAATGTGTTGTTTCCTTATTCACAAAAATATTAATTTATGTGTGCTTGAGGCAATTAACTTAATGTTTTCATTTCATATTCCTCTCATTTTCAAATGATGACCCCTAGAATGCCACAATACATTTGATAGCTTATGATGCATTACATTCCGGCAACATTTGAGTTCTCAATGTAAATCATTTTAATTATTCATTAGAGGCAATTAAACATTCATAACATGCAATAACTAATTTTATTTAATATTTTATTTAGATGCTATTCCCTCACCGGACACACTAAGTATAAACAGTTTCAAGTCAACATCAGATACAAGTGATTCAGCTAGCAGTGGAACACCATCAAGCCTACCGGTGGTTTCTCCTGTCGTACCTCCTGTGGGGCCTCCTGTTGAGCCTCCCATGGTTTCTTCTTGTGTGCCCAAGGGTCACACCCATCAAGATGTGCCTGCATCACGAAGTACAGACTCTTCACAGACCATTCAGCCTAAAGATAAGAATAGTGGATTGATAACAAACGAGAGAACTATAGAGAATTTGGAAACTGTTTGTGATAATCTTGTTGAGGGGCCTTGTAAAAGAGTTGATTTTGAAGAATCTGAAGAAAATCATATTGCAGACAAAGTAGATTTTTCAAGTGTTGATACTAGGACATATGATGATTTTAAAAGTGATATACAACAAAAGGAGAGCATTTTGGCAGAAATTCTTGATCTTGGTTGTTTAAAAATGGATCATGAAATGAAATCAAGTGAAGAAAATGTAACTGAAACTAGAAGCTCTGAGGACTGCTTAATTCTACACAGAGAACATAGTTTTGAGAGTACTGTTTCAACCCCAAGTACTTTGAAGGAGTCAAGTCCTGCTCCTAGTAATTTAAGCACTTGTGATTTTTATGCCCAATTTTACACTTGTGATAATAGCTATAGTTCAGTAGACAGTGGCACCGATATTTACAGTCATCAAGAAGTCGCAGGCTGCACTAACACTGTTACTGATCGTTTCCTGTTAAGAGATGGAGATGAGCAAATAGCAAGTAACATAAGTGAGGACAGACATAGTTGTTTAAGTTATGGCCCACCATCTGGGAGCAGTCTCTTATCTCTTGGAAACAGGCCACAAGCTGAGGCACTGGAGCAAGCCACAGGTGACTCAAAAGACATGCACACTGTTACAGATTCATCAGATGTGGCAGATATTAGTTGGTCATATGCTACCTCAGATGTACAAGAATGCTTTGAATATGACGAAGAGGAAATGACCGGTGGATGGATTAGACACAGATTTCCAGGCAGTGTTACCAGTTTGAGTGTTTCAGAAAATAATGTTGCATTTGTTGATGATTGTAACTGCATTTTTTTTAAAGATATTAATGCCGAAAGCAAATCTTGGAGAAAGGCTAAATTGACTGCAAAAGCTTCACAGATTTCCAGTTCACCAAGTGGGGGTATAATGTGGATACAGTTTGTCTCTAATGTATATGCAATCTGTAATCCTAAACTGGAGCTGCTACCAACATCAAAAATGGTGCCTGTTGCCAGGAATGTTCTACAAATGTGTGTGGATGAAGAGCTTACATGGTACATCAATCAGGAAAACCAAGTAAGAACATGATTCTGTTATGTATTCTGTGAAAAGAATCATGCAGCCCTAAGTAATATACCAAAAGTATTTACAAAATTTTCTTTCCTAGTTTTGATGTGCCAGTAGGTGTGGAGCTTATATTAAAAAATGCATAGGTTTTGATAAAAAAAACACTAGTTTCATCAGTACGGTACATGAAACCGAGTATCAAGATAGCTTATTTCAAGATCAGAAGTACCTAATGTTTTGTATTCATAATTTAATCTTCAATCTTGTTTTGATGTGTATTTAAACAAATTGTTTTCCTAATTTGCCACAAGGATGTATGTACTTTTCACTGTTTTCTTCTCATGTATAGCTCTGTGAAGTGTCTGTGGTTAACAGAAGGCTCCTATTAATGTACAGTGAGAGTGCTCTGTCTCTTGTGGCTATCCCTATAAGGTAACTTATCAGAGAGAGATTGTGTCAAGTTACATCTAGGTTGTTCCATTGCAGGTTTCCACTTGTTCTTACCCACAACTCTGATCTACCTGGTAATTCAACCATACATCCATTATTATTACCCCTTTTCCCACTTGCATTGGGTAGGGAGGCACCAGCTCGGAGATTAAAAAAAAAATAAGGTGAATAATAGTGAATGAAGATTATAGATCGTAAAAAAGGAAAACTATCACTTCATCCGTTGTATCATTTACACTATAGAGCATCGTAGATAAATGAGCACCACCATGCTCCAGCAGTCATCCAGAGCATCTCGACACTGCTTCGATTGATCGGGTGTATGGTGTGTCTCATAAATTGTCATGATATACAGTTCAATATCATCTTACTTTGTTCCTTGTCACACACCATGCATTGTTCACATACTATTGTTGTTTTCTCACACACCCTGTTCCCATGTGTCTCATTGTAAATATAGTAAATCTTTTCTCCCGTTTCCTTAGTCTCTTATACACACGTCAGTTTGTGCTGCTTGTGAAAAGGTTTCACCTTATCATGTTCCTTACTGGTGTATTGTATTCCAAACAAAATATTGTGTTACAGTGAGTATAGCTATTATATTAAAATGTGGTTTACACTCTTCTATATGCACCCTCTGCATAGCTTTTCCTATCAGTAAGTGTGTGTGAGAATTGCTGTGCTGTTGTAATTGATATGTAGTGGTAATTAATATTTCCCTAACATTCATTTAACATCAACTTTGCTTTTTATATTTTGTTGAAGAGGCAATCACTATTATTTTATAGGAGCATTGGTTAATATATAGTTAAATTTTCTAGATAGAAATATATAAATTCAATTCTTAATTCATTTATGCATTGTTAGGCCAAATGTTTTAATTTAAATGGTTCAAATTATACATATAATGAAGTGAGTTTTTGGTAGTTACAATTCTTGTCAATATCTAGGCATTAATAACATGACAAAATATTTTTACAGGTATGTGTGCAACCAAGTTTGAGTGACAAAAGCCCTCTTATTGTACGGTGTGAAGATTTTAAGATGGTGCAAATTGCTTGTCGTTACCAAGTGGTGTGGGGTTTATCTGACCAAGGACATGTGGTTTTCAGGTATATATTATAACATTTTTCCCAAAAGTCAATAATTCTGATTATATAACTGATTAGTGGTGTAATGCTCAGCCTCAATCAGTAACATTTATTTGCCAAATTCTGCACATTCAGTGGATATCCAGTATTCGTATAGGCAGTGTGCTTTATAAATCCCAAATTATATTTATTCAACATGAAATATGAGATTTATTCTCTTACAGGATAGGTGTGACTACTCAGTCACCTTTGGGCCATGATTGGGGAGTGATGGAGGCCCATGACATGCTTGTAGTGACTCTGGCACTGGGACCAGGAGAGAGGGGGTGGATAGTGGATGACAAAGGTCGAGTATACTTTCGACTTGGAGTTTGTGCCAAGTACCCACAGGGAAGTGATTCTAAATGGTGGCAGGTGAGTTAAGTTTGTTTTGTAATATGATAAATATAATATTAACAAGTTTGTTTTTATTAAATACTTCCCTCCTTTTTGTTTCACTTACTTTTGAGGTTGTATTGGAGTTATTCTAAATATTCTGGTGTGTGATTTAATTCTCTGTACAATATTGTACTCTTGTGCTCATCAACCTTATTCTCAAAATAAATAAAATTGTGCAACCCCTGCTGTATTTGTAGTTACCCCCTATTATACTGTATCCTTAATAATTAAGGATATAATATTAATATCCTTACTCAGTCTTTAATTTAAATTTCAAACTACCAAATCCATTCATTTTAAATACATATTTTACCTTGCATATTGTAGATATTTGCTGTGCATTTGCCTCTTCCAGCTATACATCTGCTTCAACAGAGGCCATTACATTATAATTGTATGGGGGCATGAGAACAGACTTTAAATATCCAACACTTTTGAACGTTGCCTTTAACGCTATATGAAAACACACAACACAGTGTCCTTTTATATATTGTATAACATTTTGTATACATAACATATTGCCCATAATTCATTTTGTATACATGACATGTTGCCCACAATTCTTTAAAAATTAAGGTACATGTAACATGTTTAACCCTTGAAGTACAGTTATCATCATTCTGATTCCTGGGCAAATGCGGTTATCGTCATTTGCCAATTTAAGTTAATATTTACAAGTTTGTATACAATGATGCAGATTGAATTATAATACATCTATATGGATCCACTAGGACAATTAAATAAAAATTCCAAACATTTTCGTTTTTCACCACATTATCAAGGAAATACAGACAGAAAGACATAAGGGTTTAGGATTATATACCCAACTACACTGGACTAGACAAAGATCCATTAGCTAAAATATTGATTTATGGAAGTGACATTAAGGTGAGATGATTAAGTGGATGTTAACTGGGTATTCCCTCAATCTTGGAATGTACTACACATACACTTACTGTTTACATAATTTTATACCTATCAGAAATCGTACTAATTATAAAGTTATCTAATTTATAACTAACTGACTCTAACAGCAAAGAAGTGGGTTACAAGATACTTCCTTTGATAAGTGCTATGAACAAATTTATTTGGAATATAGGTACAGTATATATATAACATTAGAGGCCTAGACACAATACTCAGTGAACATAAAAATCCTCCAGTGTATGATGTTATATCTGATATGATGAAAATATGGTGTGCAAAGTTTTTCTTTCATAACAATGATGGTTGCTGTTCTTTTTTGTCTTGTCCCTGTCGGCAGTATTGATTCTCAATTCAGATTATCTTTGTTTATGTTTGGAAAGTCGACCTGATAGCAATAAATCATTTGATTGTTATTTCACATAAAAAGATATTGTACTTGCATACTGCAGTTATATATATTTTACAAATTCACTTCTTATTTGTTTGTTTCTGTGCTAATGAAAAAGTATGATGTTCCCAATTTATGTGTAAGGTCTTATTGTTATATGCTCCTGTTAATTATAATAATGTTTTGATGTGGTTCTATTTAATTTTAGGTTGTAACTAGTGACTATATGATGGAGTTTATGGAAGGAGAGCACGGCCGTGTCATGCTTAGTGCATCGTCAAAAGGAATCTGGTTAGCTCAAGAAAACTCAAACTGGTACTCTGTACATGATCCAAAATGCACAGGTAATAAACCTTCAACTGTGGTTTATTATATTTAAGGGTTAATTGAGATCTGATCAAATGTTTGTTATTAGTTATAATTGTAAATGTGCTTTTTTTTCATAAATTTCAGTTGTGAAAGAATATGCATTGGTTGGTCAGTCAGTTTAAGTGGTGTTCAGTCTGGTTAATAACAAGATTTCCTATATTCCAAAAAGTTTATCCGTAGTCACCTTCCCTAGAATCAAATTGCATACAGTACATGTAGTGTTGCTCTGCTCAGCAGTGTAAACCAAATCATGATCACTAATTATTATTATTATTATTATTATTATTATTTTTTAAATGCTTAGGAGTTGGTGGCTACTCAGATACTGTATATTTAAAGGAACAGTGATATAACAGAATTGCCTGTAATATATGCAATATTAGGAAACTTTCTTTTGACTGGTAATAGTCTAGTTGACTGACCCCTCATAAAAAATTAATGGATTTAAATTTATAATACTCAAACATTCATATGAGCTTATTGCCTATGTCAACATTGTGTCATTGTAGTGCTTAATTATGTAGACGTTCATTTGCTTGTATCATTAGTGAAAATTAAATAATTCTTTTGAGTGTTTTGTATTATATTTTATTTTGCATTTATTTTCACATAAATTAATTTGTAACAGTCTATTTCACTTGGTTAAAACATTATTTTTTATTTGAATGTGGTTTTGTTATGGTTAATACAGTATAAAATTTGCATGTAAACGGTGACAAAAAAGTAACAATATCAAACATTTGTTTACTGAACTATATTATATATTAGAACTGCACCTAATCCAGTTACTGAAAAAAAAGGATTTTATTTATATTATAATACATCCTGGAAAATTAATAAAGGTGCATTCCTATTAAAGTAAAGGTGAAAGATTATTGGGGTAATGATAACCATAAAGTTAAATATATGTTGGATGGTGTGGCAGAGGGTGACGAGCTGGATGGTTTCCCATTGTTGGGGACAAGAAGCCTGTTAGGCTTCTGGAGGTAACCCTTGGTTATTTACTGACCCCTTCTCGGGATGCAACCTACAGTAGTTGCCTGCTTCTCCTGTATCTATTTACTGCTAGATGAATAGAGTCATTAAGTGAAAGGAAATATACCACATGTGTCTGTCCTGCCACAGAAATCGAACCCAGAATGTTGTGCTTACTTGTATGTGAAGGGAGAGGGTAATTAGTAGTAGTCTGAGAACTATAGGGGGAATTAGTGTGCAGTACTTAGCATCCAGGAAAAGTGTGTGCAGGGGGGGCAAATTAGGAGAGAGCAAGAAATAACAGAATTCAGTATAGGATAGGGAGGGGAACAGGATGGATTTTGGAAAGGGACATTGTGTACAGATTACATTTTTATTGTAAGAATGGTTGTTGAAATGTTTCTAGAAATTGGGAAAAAGTTTTTTTTGTTTTAGTTTATCAAGAGAGATTTTAAATGAGTCATTGACAAGTTTTGGGTCTAGAGAGGTATGCCTTTGCATATGTTATTATTTGGGGTTTCTGGCAAATTTAGTCTACCTATTGTAACTAAAACCAATATGTTGTCCTTCAGTAAGTATCTGTGAGATTTAATTTAAATTATTTCAATATTCCATTTTTGTATCAATCATTTTGTGTATCAACCCCTTATTTAAAAATTGGAAGATTCATGCATTTATTTTTACTTGCATGTCCAGGTCATGTTTGGTCTGTGTTCAGCGAAGATGTTTGGTCTACTATCTGTGCCGAGGGCTTGTACACAGACCAGGGAGCCATCTGCTGCCTCTCTCCTTTAGGACAGCTATTTGTTGTAAACCCAAACACTGCCTCTTGTGTGGTGAGAATGAAATTATTTTTTCTTAATTGATGTAGTTTATGGATATGTAAAATTCTGAGGAAATCTTTGGAGCAGGGCAATGGAATTGAACTCTCAGCCTCAGCCACCCAAGGTGCACGCATTACCCACTGGACCACAATGTGTCTGGGGTGTCTCTGGACGAGAGTTGGATTCCATTGCCCTGCTCCAAAAGGTTCTCTCTTGGATATATCATGCTACTATGATTTAATTGTGCATGTAAAGTTCTGTTCTATAGTGGAGTCTGTAAATTTATCATATATAAGCCAAACTAATATATTGAGCATATAATATTTTAAAATCTAAGGATGTTATTTACTGTACTGTATATGTAAATCAGGTAGCAAGTTACCATTCTTCTTGTCTGACAATGTTCATTCTTCCTGATAGTTGTTTCTTTGCATATTTTTATTTTTATATAGCTTAAGATAATTACTGTACTGGGATAACACTTTGTTGACCCACTTTTTATTTATTAAAAATTAATTAACTATGATTATTGTGCATCAATTAATGAAGGACAAATCTTTCAAATGTCAGTGTACAAGAGAGGTAACTTGTATGTTACTTCTCTCTAATGTTGGCCAAACCACACACTAGAAATTGAAGAGACGATGACGTTTCGGTCCATCCTGGACCATTATGAAGTCGATTGTGTCTATTATCTGCTCCAAAGATAATGATTCAGGATGGATCATTATGACGACGAAACGTCGTTGTCTCTTCAATTTCTATTGTGTGGTTTGGTCAAAAGTTTTCAGTCACATTATTGTGACTTTTATCTGCAATTCTCTCTAATCTTTTTTTTCAAGGCAATGGAGAAAATATTTGTTATTAAAATTCCAAACAACAATCTTGGTTTATAATCTATGTATTTACTGTAAGTTTTGAAAATAAGAGATTCAGTCACTGTTAGTTGCCTAGTGAATATCAGTTAGTTATTGTAGTGAACATTGGCAATTAAGGGAAACCAACCAGTAGGCTGGGCTAGCTTGCTTGCTAGCCTACTGGTCAGGGAAAATTAAGCCAATGTGTCTAGCAATCTCCTGGGTTCAACACCTACCTCCAGAGGCAAGGCTTAACATCTGGCCTGGCTTGTGATTAAGGTAAAGTTTTGCTGGGACTCTAGATGCGGTTTATAAGATTCCACAGTTTTAAACAACCATTGCCTATAGGATAGGGATATTTCAGTTTTAGGATGTGTTCAATTATTATTTTGTGTAACAAATTACTGTTGATTCTTTTTGTGTTTAGAAAATTTCCCAGTTACATATGTTAGTATTCTGAGTTCATGATCCTGTGTATTTTTGTGTTTTAAGTACTGTACTCATGTGGTCCTTCTAAGTAACTGCTTAGATTACAGCATCCTCCCTTGTCATTAATTATTTAAGCTGCATTTCAAAGTAACTTCACCCCCCCTATGGAAGAATTAGGGATACACACTCTGGGTATTAGAGAAGCTACCCTTCTTAGCCATTTAGTGTACTGACGTTGGCGTCAGATCTAGAAGGTGGTGGCAGCTTTAATGGGCAAAAAGTTCATTAAATTTATATACTGTAATAATTTTTAGAAATTATAAAGTTCTTTACTTTCTGAAAATTAAGTTCACAAAATATTTATTCATCCCAAACATGATCCATACTCGAATTTCTTGAAAAGAGTCTTGAAATAACAAATATAAGACTTTTCATTATGATTTTTCCAAGGTGAATATTATTGTCCTTCATTAATTGATGCACAATTATCTTAGTTAATTAATTTTAATAAATAAAAAGCGGGTCAACAAAGTGTTATCCCAAGACAGTAATTATCATAACTTTGATGAATTTGTAATAAAAGTTATTATTATAGAGTACAGAGTTTTAGGGAGAAAATACAAAAGTCATCTTAATTTTGTTAAAAGTCTTGCTAAAATTCAGTGTTGCTTCCCGTGACCTTTCACAATATTTATGGGGGGTATCACGCTTCATTATCAGAGTTTTGAGACAGCTAGAAGGTTTTATGCTTAAAGAAAAACAATTTATGGAGGAATATTTAGGATTGTTACATTTTGCATGCAAATCTCCAAATTAAAAAATACGGTACAACTTTTCACGTGTGACTATTTTCAGCCTTTTGACTTGCCTAAGAATGAATGTGTCATGTGCGTGAGCCAACGTCCAGAGGCCATGTGGGTTCTAACAGCAGCTGGTGACATCTTTATCAGGATTGGACTGTCTGCAAAGTCTCTACATGGGTCACATTGGAAACATCTCGACTTGAGCCAAATTGGTATGCATTGTGTGATACAATATATTGCAATTTTTAATTCATCCTAATTCATTATTATTGTTTCCCCACATTTATTCCTCCTTTCATGGGGGTTAAGAGTCATAAACTTGAAGTAAAAAAGTGAATAACTAAATGGAAGAAAATAATATACTGTATTAGCAAAATATATCTTTTGTGTTCATTATATCATTTATACCATATTGCATCATTCAAAAACAAATGCCACCACTCTCCATCAGTTATGTACAATAGCTCCCTCATTACATCATAAAGTGATATGTACAGTGCCCCTTGTGATTTACAGGCTGGCTTGTCCTCCCATACACTCAAAGATATCTGCCCATCTTCTCAGGCTTCTTCTCCTCTAATCCTTAATTCATTCATTCATGTATTCAACATACCAAAAGAATCTTAGTACAATAACACCATATGTTTTTCATATTATCTATTTTTATTGTTGCAAGTCCCGATTTTTGATGTTGATAGAACATCAATTTGCAGGAGTACATCATCACATCATGCATCTTTTCTGATTTTATTTTTTCTAACAAAAAGGCTTTTGTTGCATCAGCTACTTAATTCCCCATTTCACCCACTATTTCTGGCACTTCATTTATTCAGTATTTATTTTACAAAGGGATTACCATTTTTCCACAACCACAACTTTGTTGTAGTCAATTTCCAGTTTGAACATAATTGTGATCATGGTACTTGATCACAATTATGTTCATTGTGGATAGTATAGAAAGTATACTAGTATTTCTATACACAGTATATAAAGACTCAAAATGTTTTTCTATACCGAATAGCCTACCTCTGTTTTCCTGTACGGTATATTATGAATACAATATCAATATTTTTGTAATTATTCTATGATGATTTAAGTGAATTCCTTACTGGAAGAGATTTGTTCATCATAGGTTTTCAGTAAGACACTTGTTTTTGTGTGAAAGATTACAAGGTGTATCCCTGGAGAAAGTATGGTGAATAGCTAAGATTCAAATGATTGTTTTGATGAAAGCTCTTATCATCCCTGATTGTGTCGTGCAGCTGAAGGATTAAATATATATTCACTGGGTATATTTAAATAATTTGTTCTCTTAAATATTTTAGTTTACAATATTACTAAATCAATTTCATGATTTCTTGTTTGGCATTCATCATATAGTAGGGTGAAATTATATGTTTTCTTAACAGCTGGATATGTGGCAAGAATGGTAAACAACCTCTATACATAGCTTAAAGAGTAAGTACTGTACAGCAAATTACTGGAATGTCAGTAGGAAACATCTTCACAACTTCTGAATATAAGACTGCTGTAACTCCAATTTGGGTTCAGTTCCAATTTATTTGGAAGTTTCCTAGTTGACTGTATTGTTTATCTTCAGAAACAGAAGATCCACAATACGAGTGTCTTGCTATATGCGATTTGTTTTATAAGTTTGTGTGTAATGTGCCTGCATGTAGTTAGGTAATCTATATATATATTTTTTTCTACAGGTGACATTCATCTGTGTCATATTTCATGTGGGATGGACGTTGTGTGGGGTGTGGACACTCGTGGGGGTGTTTACATGCGGCAAGGTCGCCTTACTCCTTCAGTAAATGAAAGTCTTCCACCAGCATGGATCCAGGTTGATCCAGTTCCTCTCAAAGGAAATGCTGTGTTCACTAAGGTACAGTATGGTTTTGTTTAATTCAAGCTTTAATTCAATAAATATATAATATATATATATGTCTATAAATAAATTTATTAAATAAATAAATGAATTAAAGTTTAATAAATATCTATACAATTCTGACCATGGGCATTGGGTGATGGTGTGATTTAGTTATGAATGTTAATGGGATTCTTGAGATTATCTTGAGATGATTTCGGGGCTTTTAGTGTCCCCGCGGCCCGGTCCTCGACCAGGCCTCCACCCCCAGGAAGCAGCCCGTGACAGCTGACTAACACCCAGGTACCTATTTACTGCTAGGTAACAGGGGCATAGGGGTGAAAGAAACTCTGCCCATTGTTTCTCGCCGGCGCCTGGGATCGAACCCAGGACCACAGGATCACAAGTCCAGCGTGCTGTCCGCTCGGCCGACCGGCTCCCAACTCAAGTTCAAGTTCTTGGGATGCTCAAGTTCCCAAAAATTCACAGAACAGGAATTAAATTTTAACTCCTGTTAACACTTTCGGCAGGCGGGGACAAAAATTATGTCTATTAATAACTCTACAGAAGTCCGGTGGGGATTCATGTTGCATCCAAAATTAAAATATTTGTTAAAATTCCATTTAATGCTAGATTTTTATGGGACTAGTTTTAAAATGCTCGCCATTAGCTTGTAAATGATTTGATATCAAAATGAATGATGTAGCATGACAATTGAGGACAGAACACTGGAAAGATTATAAATATCCAGTACTTGTGTGGTGATGAGCATCCAAAATTGAAATATTTGTTAAAATTTCATTTATTGTTCGATTATTATGGTACTCATTCTAAAATGCACACCTTTTGATTGTGGACAATTTCATATCAAAATGAACGATGTAACAGGAAACTTGAGGTGAGAAAACTGAAAAGAGTATTCGCATTTTAGAGCGGGTATTGTGAGCACGGGTAATGCTCAATGGATTTTCTGATTTGCTGCGGGTAGCACGCCTTTTTTTTTTTTTACCTTATATGCATATATACCTTTAGAGAATTCTATTGCAAACAATTTGATACCAAAATGAACGACGTAGCACGAAAATTGACGTCAGAACGCTGGAAAGAGTATACACATTTTAGAGTGGTTGCACGCTCTCGGGTAGTGCTCGGCTGATTTTTTGGGTTAGCTGTGGAGGACACGTTGGGATTTTTTTTACCTTATATGCATATATCCCTTAGAGAATTGTATTGCAAACAATTTGATACCAAAATGAATGATGTAGCACAAAAATTGAGGTCAGAACACTGGAAAGAGTGTATGCACATTTTAGTGTAGGTATGCACACAGAGAGAAATGCCAGGCCGACCTTGGGGGTGGGTTGGGTCGCGCACGGCGGGCTGCACAAAGTGTTAACTAATGATGAAGATGGGCTTCATAGTAAAGAGTTTATGTTGATTCAGACATTTGCTTTCAAAACCTAGTAGGAATGGTATGCAAAAAATATTATAATTCCTTTATGAACTTGGTGAAGAGAGTGACTGAGTGGTAATCACACATGCAGTTGTGAATAGCGTAAAGAGTGGCAAGAAACAAGGGAAGGTAACAGCAACATTGTTTGGTAAATCATGAGCAGCACTGTATCTGGTCTTGTGAAATAGTGGGTTACTGCTGTAAAATATTTGAAGGTGAATGGTGGTGCTGGTTCTCTCTGATGTTTTAATATACTGTATTGGTAATGAACAGCTGATAATTGTAATATCTTTATTCTTCAATTCTAGTACTGCACCTCTGTCTACATTTTAAAACATTGAAAATAATAAAGTGTTAAAGAATTTTTTGCATGCAGACTTTTTAGCCAAGTAACTTGTTGGGCAATTCGATATCTTTCTAAAAGAGGATTATATTTTGCCTGCAAAATCATCGGTTTTGATAGCAAGGAACAGAACTGCAACATACCTTTTTTCATCTGTTTAATAGTAAATTCTTATTGGTATAAGTATTTAAAGACTAGTGTTGCTATGATTCACATATTTTAGCTTTTAGTAAACAGAGATCTTGATACATCATGCCACTAATGCTTTTTAATATTAATCTTTGTTTTGGGTGTGCTATGCTAAGATATTTATGAAACTGTTTATAGGAAAGTGGGATTAGGTTCCTTCTAAGTAAAAAATGATAGTTTTGCAAACTCCAATATAAAGTTATATATATTTTTCATGGATAATTTAAAGTTGTAAATTAGAGTTTAATTTAACAGCTCTATTTACTAGGCATGGGTTACTAACTGATAGAATATTTTAATATCATGACATAGAAACCTAAAATTAAAACCATATTGAAAGTAAATATGAATAGTACATTTGCATACAAATTCCAAAACACAAGTCACAATTTCTTCATTAAAAGTGAAATTATATTCAAATTTGCAGACAAAATGTGGTTTCCCATTATATTCACAAACAACCACCTCCAGGTTTTTGTGGGAATGAAGCTGCACATGGTGTGGGCGGTGGATTCCTGCCGCCGTGTTTACGTTAGAGAAGCCATCTTCCCTGAACTACCTATTGGCTTGTCGTGGGTTCCTGTTGCTGGGCTTTTGGCTCTACATATGTCCATCAGGTAAAAACAAAATAGATATTAAGACACGTCAGAAAACATGTAAATTTACATGGACTCTTATTGATATTGAAAGTATATATATATATATATGTATTCATTTTCACAAATTATAAAAGTTATTCATTGGTATGTCAATCTTGTTATATAACTACTCTGCTAATTAGTAATTGTTGATAAGTATTAGTCATTACTTTGAGAAATCTGCAATCTAAATTTTTGTTATTCAATATTAAAGGAAAAATATACATATATTTTTCCCACCTCTTTGTTTTGAATTCAAAAGTACTTTTTTCCTTTTAATTTGTCCTTAATTACTACAGTACTGTATCCCTAGTTCTTGGAATTACTGTATATGATAAAAGATTTATGTATAGATGGGTATCCACAATTTTCATATTCTTATAGCTGTGTAATGCAGATGATTTGCCTACATATAAAAGAATTAAGAGCCAAGTGATTTAGGATACCCAGACAGATGGTGATAGAAACACGGTAATAATCAATAATGTTTATAATCTTTATAAGTTAGCGTTGGAGTAATTTGTAAGACAGGGTCATGCAATCTTGTTGAATGCAGATGTCAAGTGCTGTGAAAGTGTTAAAATTAGTGATTTGTGGGTTTAGTAGCCTTATATATATATATATATATATATATGTCGTACCTAGTAGCCAGAACTCACTTCTCAGCCTACTATGCAAGGCCCGATTTGCCTAATAAGCCTAGTTTTAATGAATTAATGTTTTTTCGACTACCTAACCTAACCTGACTTTTTCGGCTACCTAACCTAACCTAACCTATAAAGATAGGTTAGGTTAGGTTAGGTAGGGTTGGTTAGGTTCGGTCATATTTCTACGTTAATTTTAACACCAATAAAAAAAAATTGACCTCATACATAATTAAATGAGTAGCTTTATCATTTCATAAGAAAAAAAAGAGAGAAAATATATTAATTCAGGAAAACTTGGCTTATTAGGCAAATCGGGCCTTGCATAGTAGGCTGAGAAGTGCGTTCTGGCTACTAGGTACGACATATATATATATATATATATATATATATATATATATATATATATATATATATATATATATATATATATATATATATATATATATATATATATATATATATATATATATATATATATATATATATATATATATATATATAAAATCATATGAAAGTGTTGTTGCATTTATGCAACTCTCACACAACACAATTTATCAACCCTCAGAGGGGAAGAAATGCAATCTATTGCCCAGATGCCTTACATGCTTTCACATTGTCTGATCCCTCATACCACCTAGAACAGCCCTCTTCCTAAATGATGCTCAGGTCTTTTTCTAAGACATCCATACCATTCAAGTATATGACAATTCAACCACTCCACACTAAATCACATTTCATTCTTTTACTTGTATTGGAACAAATAGAAAATAATAAACTAATTTGAATTGTTGTCTAAAAAAAACACACAATATGACCATTTCTTCGAAAATATTGTTCCATGACCCTTAATTCTGCATTTATTTTTCAGTGAAAATGAGGTTTATGCCCTTACTCCTAATGGTGAAGTTTTCAAGCGTGTTGGAGTGACCAACACCAATTATATTGGTGATGCATGGCAGAAAATACCAGGAAACCTTGCAAAAATTTCAGGTAAAGATTAACTAATTGTTACCAACAATGTGTTCTTTTTCAACAAGAGAAAGAGCAAGGCAAGAATAGATTTATTTTTAAATAATGATTAGCCTGTAGTGGCTTCATAAATTCTGATATATTAAAAGGTCATGACAGACAATATAATATCTGCAGATTATGTCTACTATCACCTTGGTGTTTCTCTGCATGAAAGATTAACTTCATTTACCATAGATGCTAGTAAATGTGTATAATTATGCTAAATTAATGTGCAATACATTTTCCCTGATATGTTTGAGGTACACAGTTTATATAATTATTTATAAAACTACTTGCTCTTATGAAAAGATTGCTAATCCTCTAGTATAGTACTATGGTTTTGTTAAGCAAAAGGAACAAGAAAATAATCTATTTATATAACTTCAAAAATTCCACCCACAAAGTTTTCATGGGTGTCTCAAACTATAGCAGTAGTTAGAAGTGAAATTTTGCTAGTTAACATGCTACATCTGGTCATCATTTTCATTTCATGGAAAGGCCAAAATAGGTAAATATTATTGAAGTTCTGTTGCCTTATTTTTGTCGAGTTAAAAGTTTGTGGTTTGAATTGGTTACAGAGTTCCTCATGAGTAATGACAATATTATCAATTCTATGCCCCCAAAGTCAAACTATTTTTTTTATATAGTATCTATGCTAACCAGTCCCAAAATATATAGTAAATGAAAATTTATAATTACAAGTTCTGTCCTCTGAAAATTTCCATAGTAATAAGCACGTAGCCCTCGCCTTCTGAATTGTGTGGCAAGTCCACGAGCGCAAGTTCATCCTGAGAGACAGCATGTTAATTATGAGGGCACTTTTCCCTCACTACTTTTGAACAGTACTAGTAATGACATTATCCTGTCATGCATCATTCTTAATGATTTACAGCTTTTTATCCTTGGGGTTTCTTCACTAGGTATGCAATCTTAGCTATTTACATGAAATACAAAGAAATAAACCAATTATTCTATACACAGGTGTTGTAAATTTCTATACAAGATTATAATTATTATTTTCAATGAAATGAAGCAATAGTTCTGGTATGAATGAAACTTTTATAATAACTACCTCTTTCACCCTGCTCAGAAATTGAACCCAAGACTAATAAAGTTGTTAGCCAACTGTACATTAATTACAACACACCAAGTCTTGTGGTAGACTTGGGAAGGGTAATCAAAAAGTGTTGAAGAGCAGACCATCACAGGTTACAAAGTTAACTATAGATAAACCTTTTGGAAATTATATTATGTTGAGGTTTAGGCCAGGGACCAGGTAATTAACTAATTAGATTATTGTGTCATATGCATGTGTGGAGTTGCCCCTGTTAATCTGAACCAGAAAGATGTGCTGCAATAAATGTTCTGGAAATAGCATTGCCATTTTTTTTTTTAAATATCCACAGCGCTTGATGTGTAAAATATGTTATACACATTTGTACATGTGAGCTAAACATTCTCTCTTCTTTCCAGTTACTGTAGATGACTGCTTGTGGGGTCTGAACAACAGGGGACGCATCTGCCAGCATGATGTATTTAAGATATTGGACTTGCCTAAAGATAAAACTATAAGGAAAAATAAGACCATCTCCTTGAGTTCTGAAACCTTAGATTGGGAAGTATTGTGATAAGCACTATAGCATATTGTAGCATAATATCTGTGGGCATTATGCATACACAACTTATATTAATTCTCAGAGATGGTACTGAAAACTGGAGATTTGTTATTTTACCAATATTTTTACTATATATATATACTGTTCCAATATTTATTATTTTATAATATACTAATAAATTTTATAATATTTTCAGTTTTTTTAATAACTTCCATTGTACACAAACTAAATTGCTATATTCTGTACACTATATACTTTTAAGTATTGCTTTATTACATTTAAGCATAATGCACATTTCATTATATTTGAATATTGTAGTTTATTTTAAAGTAAATATACATTTTGTATACAATATGTATATTAGTACAGTACAGCATGTAAATGTTTAAATGTCACAATTACATTAAAATACTTAATTTGATTTTTTAAATTCAGGTACAGTATTAAAAATATATCTATAACAGAAAGTGTCTTTGGACAAAGTTGGAGGCCATATGCTTAACACTAGCCTCACCCAACTTTGCAGGGGAAATGGTCAGGGTGAACCCCAAGGTAAATACTTTAATAAATATCAGCCTGTAACCCCTCTCCCCTTCCCCATGCGATTATCACGAAATGGAAATGTTTGTTCAGAGTTGGAGGCCAGATGGGACAGAAGTGGGGAGAGAAGGGAGGGAGAGGGGAAGGGAGGGTGTGAAGAAGGGGAAAATGGGAGAGAGAGACTAGCCCAGCCACCACCAGGTACTCTCCCTAATATACCCAATACCTATAATGTTCTTATATTCACACTTACATTATTCTGCCTATCATCCCACCAGAATTATATATTAGTGACATAACAGGTAATAAAATTGTCATGCATGTAATCTTTTCATTCATACTACTGGATACCATAGAGTGAGGAAGCACATTGTTGCAGAACATAGGGAGCAGTATAGGAAAATATGGTTTGCAATAAGGCACTAATTCATATAACCATTTCTACCACACTAAAAGCCATCCTCATCATACCAGAAAGTCACTGTTAATTATACTTTCTCATGTACAAATATCAGTCGTCGTAAACTGCTTCTATGGCACAGTTCATTCAGTTTCCGTATCTTCACTTGCCATGCCTGGTCTTCATTACAGTTCTTGTCTTCGTCACCCCCTACTCAGCATCATCATGCTTTACCCTCCTAGTTAACCACCCTCTCTCTCATCATCTCTCTCCTTGTCATCATCCCTTCTCATTGGCATGGCACCCCCTCCTCTCACCTTTACCCCCCTTCCTGCTCATCCACCCCATCACACCCCACTCTTTAAATCAACAGAACTATGTACTTTTCACCACTCAATCATTGGCGCAATTTAATTTATAATTGAATGAATTATAATTTAATGAATGCAAATTGCACATTTTTGCAATTTGCAGGACTTTTACATTGTTATTATTTTATCTATCCTTGCACACTCATGCTTCTTGGACTGTCCAATTCTAGTAAAACAAGTATTTATTTTCCATGATTGTGCCACACCAGCATCTGCACACCAGGGTAGGCATAAGATTTCTTGCCTACATGCATCACTGTAACTTATCTATATATATTCATCAGTCTCTGTTATAACTGCATCACTTGTAAACATCAAATCTGATTTATGTATATCAGCTGAAGTACAATTTAAGTTCACACCTTTTTTTTAATATTTTAACCTTTACCTCTCATGACCCCATCTCCGGTATCTATAAAAGATAATATCTGTGTTTCTGAGGTTGGAGGCCAGACGCTTGGAGTTACCATCATTAAACTAACTCCGCAAAGGAGATTTTATGGGAAGTGCCATGAAGGGAAAGATTAGGGTCTTCCTCCATGCTATCCTTGAAGGGAGGCAGGTGGGATGGGGATGGCCAATATTCCCCCGCATTCATGAAGTTTGTGGATATGAAATCTGCCATACAAAGTCCATGAGTTTAGTTTTCAACACATTAGCATTTACTATACCATACTAGAGAGAGAATCATGCAAGTCAACACGACCTTTTGCCTGAAAGTCATGAGATACCCTACATCTGCATTGCTCAGAGACAAATTATTTAGTGCTGTTAACACCCTATTGACTGGTGCCGACATACCAACTCACTCTTTTTATGATAAATGGCTGAGCAACAATGCCTACAATCTCATTTAACTCAACATTCATTTTAAGTGCAATCTACCTGTCTCTGATATTCCTCTTTATCTGTACCCACCATTCAAGTATCATACACAGGCGATGAGTCACAATAACGTGGCTGAAGTATGTTGACCAGACCACACACTAGAAGTTGAAGGGACGACGACGTTTCGGTCCGTCCTGGACCATTCTCAAATCGACTTGAGAATGGTCCAGGACGGACCGAAACATTGTCGTCCCTTCAACTTCTAGTGTGTGGTCTGGTCAACAAGTATCATACACACCTGTCACCAAGAAAGGTAATGAAAATCTTACTCTTCTCAAAGCTGTCACACTCGAAACAATTGCCTCCTCCATCGAGAATTTAAGATCTCATGAGCACTGTGTCTACACCGACGGCTCAGTCCAATCTTCTACTGGACGGACTGCAGCAGCATGTAGGTTTTATAGAAATAATATTTGCACAAAGACTGTCAGTCTCAGGTTAAACAACTGGCTGACCTCCACACAAGCAGAACTAGCAGCATTACAACTAGCTACCAGTACATTAAAAAACACTGGAGAAGGAATAATATTTTGTGATTCAAAGTCTGCTCTTCAAACAATCGAAAACTTCTCTTGGAAGATCGACAGCAAGAACCTCATACTACCAATTGTAAATGACCTAATTGCTGCACAGAGCAATGGGTCTCAAATCTCCTTTGTATGGATACCATCACACATAAACGTAACCAATCATAATGAGATAGACACTGCAGCCAAATTAGCGTGTAACAAAGATGAAGTTGAATTAGATCTAGGTATCCCCATCTCTTCTGTCAAAACTGTATTGGTCCAAACATTCAGGTCCGATAGGAAAGAAATTACTGACTCCCAATGACCTGAAAGCACTAGTATAACACACTTATGACTTGTTCAGATCTGAAACCTATATCTATGGGCAGCACAAAACGTCGACCAGACTGTGTGACAGTGGTTGCAAGGATCAGGTTGGGTTACTGTTACCTGTAGCAGGTGGCTGCAGGTGACGGATCTCCCAATCCTGAGCACTCCAGTTGCAAACTCTGTGAGCAAGAACTGCGGCATGATCTCTCACACTACATCACCGAATGCCCAGTTATTAGACCTTCCAGACCAGTTGGCATGAGGTACCTGGAGCTTTGCTAGTACAGTACTTTATTCACTCTCGTGTTCTTGAAGATATCCTTATAATGAACCCAAAATTTGCCAGTGCAGGCTATTGAATATATGGCCCTGTATGACTAACCATCCTGTGAGATGGGGATTTTTAGTATCATTGCTACCTTATTCACTCTTGTGTTGATAATATCCTCATAATGCACCCATAGTCAGCCAGTGCAGACTGCCTATCACATGCCTCTGTATGACTAACCATCCTGTGTGATGGGGATTTTTTAGCATCACCTAGTTAGCTTTTTTGACACACTGTACTCCACTTCATATAGTCTAGGGTAGCTGCACAAATGTAGATGTACCTCCTGTATTAATAAAAAAAAAATTACTGGGAGGATACTGGCAGGGTATGTGTAATTACCTAAGTGTATTTACAGGAAGAGACCTAGGCTTGTGGTGTCCTGTCTTCCCAGCACTGTCATATAATGCTTTGAAACTGCTGATGGTTTTGGCCTCCACAATCTTCTCACTTGTTTCATCTTAAACTTTGTTTGCAAAAGTGAATTTTTTTTTATTTCTTTGGCAACTTTGTTTAGCTAAAGTCTATGATGTCTTGTTCTTCAAGTTCTTGGTCTTAAGAATTCTTCCTTATCAGTTCTGTTGATTCCCATTACTATTTTGAATGCTATGATCATATTGCCTCTTTTTTCTTTTATCTTTTGGCTTTAGCATATTTAATTTATTAAACTTCTCCTCATAGCTCTTGTCTTTCAGTTCTGGAAGCCATTTAGTTGCATGTGTTTGCACCTTTTCTAGTTTATTGATGTGCTTCTTACGGTATGGCTCGATTATTCCCTTTACTTGTTAAAATTTTTGGCTAGTCACTTTTGTGGAGATTCCTAGCTTGATGATGTTAACTGGATCTACTTCTATCCGGTTGTCACATTTGTTGAGTAGCCTTGTCAAGTGACTTTGAAAGCCTTTCCCTTCTTAAGATATTAGGGCATCTTCTTCTTGAGGTTATCTTGAGATGATTTTGGGGCTTAGCGTCCCCGCAGCCTGGTCCTCGATCAGGACTCCTTTTTGTTAAACACCCCCAAGGAAGCAGCCCGTAGCAGCTGTCTAACTCCCAGGTACCTATTTACTGCTAGGTAACAGGTGCATCAGGGTGAAAGAAACATTTTGCCCATTTGTCTCCGCCTCCACCGAGGATCGAACCCGGAACCTCAGGACTACGAATCCGAAGCACTGTCCGCTAAGCTATTCTGGGCACCATACAACTGTTGCATAGTCCAACTCTGGTCTTGCAAAGATCATGAACAATTTCTTTAGTATTTCATTCATGTACAGTGGTATCTTCGTTTACAATTTAATTCGTTCCCAGAGATGGTTCGATATCCGAAACAAATTTTCCCATAAGAAATAATGTAAACTGAAATAATCTGTTCCACACACCCAAAAATATTAACTTAAAAGTACATTTTATACATAATATTAATCATATTTTGTACATAATATTTTATACTACTCAATTTTGTATTACAGTATGTACAAGTATATCTTACCTTTATTACAGACTCTTGTTGGGGTATGGAAGATGGCGAGGAGTGGGGGGGGTGGGGAGGAGGAGAGGTGTTAGTGTTTGGAAGGGAAGTCCCCTTCCATTATAACATCAGGTACTGATGACATGTCGGGGCTCACACAGCACCGCTCCTGTGCCAGGTAAGTCCACTACGGGCTTACCATAGCCTGTGCTGTTTGCCCCGCTCCTGTGCCAGGTAAGTTACGGGCTCACCATAGCCCGTGCTACTTGGAACTTGTTCCGAGTAGCTGAATCTATAACAACAACAACAACGACATGTCTGGGGTACTCTCTCTTACATTTTGCAGGCATATCACTAGGAC